ACTGTCATATGGTCAAGATGATACAACTCTTAAGGTTCTTCGGATCGGTTAGAGGCATCTGTCCACGTCGGCTCCCACACTTCACTCCCTCACAGACAGAACGGACATGTCGCGGAGAAGGAGAATCAAAACTTAATGTAGGCATGAACAGCCAGAGAGCGCATCTACCCGTGTCACCTCGAACTCACTCCTACCCGCCAACGAGGAAATGGCCCTGCCCCGCTACCATTTTCTTTAAAGGCACTTTAAATCTTGATCCATGGACACTGTCAATATGTTTATCGGAGCAAGAGATCGCCGATAGCATCGACACTCTGAAACAACAAAAACGGTAAGCTTGGAAAGACCAATGCAAGCTGCAATGAGAAAGGCCGAGATTCCTGGGGTACGGCAATCCCTCGTACTCCTGCATCCTCTCGATCGAGAGCCCATCTGGCACTAGATAGGTTGGAAATTGCGAGAATTTGGGCCAATGAGGGCTACAAAGAAGAACCGAACTATTGATGAGAATCCAGGCACCTGGGTTCTGCCTGCCTCCTGCTCTTGCCACACAGCCTAGCTGGACCAGTTTTAAACGGAGGGTCTAGGTCGAGTGTAGGCAAATGAGCCGAAGTCGCCCTCGCCAGCAAGGTTGTGTCAAGAGCAAGAAAGCGGTAGGCAGGATCCATGCTACACATGCCTGGCTACAGGCAGGCACGGAGGACTAAGTGGAGGCTGCATGAACGGAGGAAGCTGCAGAACGCAGGAGTAGTGTACTCGCGTACGTACCCAGGGTACCAGGCAGCTTGTCCTTGTTGGAGGGATGGATGCTCCTGCTCTTTCCTCTCTGATCAGCATTTTCACCCAATGGAAATGCGGGAAAATGCCACTAAGGCTGGTGAATGGTTAGTCGTGAAATTTCCAGAAGTCGCGCTGGAGGTCGTTTACGGAGGGGATCCTCAGAAGCACGAGGTCCGACTTCGTAGTTTTTGATCTCGCAACACGACGGATGGTTGGACGGTCTCCCATGCCCCAGGACGTTGATGGCGGGGTACGTCAAAAATAGGTTGGCAACGTCAATTGGCGGACTGGAGAACCAGTCCGAAGAGAAATTGCTGGTTTGACAACACATCCTCACATAAGAGACAAAAAAAGAGCCCGATTACCTGCATCTCTGCCTGACCAAGAACAAACTCTTTCTTTGGGGTGGTTGCTTGCACTCTGTTCCGCGATCGCCTGGATATATTATTTCCTCGATTCCAATGCCTTTTTTCGTGTTTTTTCCTTGCCGAAAAAGCCGGTGGGGAAAAGACTTGGGAAACAAAATCAAGGTCGGCGAACGAGCCGGGGATAGGAAAAAGCAGGGGCCTCTCAGGGCCCCAGTTCAAGGGTCCCGGCCAAGACCGGTACAAACGGGGCCGTGAGATAATCCGAGCGAGGTGCCGTTTCTTTCTCGACGTTCCACCGCCTTTCTTACAACGACATCAAATCTCACCTCCGTTGAGTTCCGTTGAGTACACTCCACCACATACTACCCCCGCCCCTTCCACACAATTCTTCTCACAAGGCACAATACTCTGCACTACTTCGGACTCTACCTTTGTACCCAAAATACATATACTTCCAGACGTACATGCAGTCGTTATCCTCTTGACAACCGTCACCATTGAATATTGAAATTTCCAGTGCGCCTTCTTAGCCTGCAGGTTTTAGGGCAATGGCTAGCCTGGTTGGGCAACAATAAACCAGGGAACCCCCTTCCCCTCCACGCCTCTCATCCCTTGAAAGTTTGGGGACGATGTTCAACCGGATCTTGTTTAATGGTCCATGTGTCCTTTTCTTGGTACGCTACTCTCAACTCTAGGTGCAGCGAACAGAGTGTCAGGTCACGATGCGCTTCTGCTCGATTGCAGGTTTGGAACTTGAATAGAACTTGTTCTAAGAATACCTGAAGCAGGCGTGATGGGGACCTCGCGTTGCAAGTCGCTCTCTCCAAGACCGCATCACGCCGAAAGCCCGTTCCCCAGACTTCTAGCCCTCATCAAATCTGCCTTTCTACATTCACCCTCCCCATTGAACCCCCTCTTAGCTTTCCAGTACGAAGTACTTTTTCAATTCTTACCCTTTTTACTATATCTTGGCCCAGATAAGCCCTCAGTAGCTCCTTGTTTTGTGGATTGGGGCCATTTTTCCTGTTCGAGTGCTCCTACCTGTTTATGGTGGGGGAGAAATTGGGAAGAACTGCCCTGACTTTCGCCTTCCAATTTGTTGACTGGTGTTTCGTGCTTGCCTTTTTCGAATTTCGGTGACGTTGAGCATTCTGGCTGGCTGGTTGGGCTGGGCTTGCCTTCTAAGTACGAAGTAGATCTGCCGGGCCAGAAAGTCGGAGAGAGCTTGAGCAGTCACAGTCAAACTCCCACCTTTCGCCATGTCTTTTTTTTTTTTTTGTTTTTTTTTTTCCTATCTAAATGTCACCCCCATTCTTGCATCAATGAGCAAGCGATTCTTGCCATTTAATTCTTCAGATCCTCTCCACATGTACCTTGCTCTTTTCAATCGTCGACCCATGCTGCAGCTGTAATTGCATGTTCCAGTCTCACCGTCTGCTTCTAGACTACAGCCTGCGTCTGTGTCTGCGCCTGCGCCTGCCAATCCTCATCCTGCGCGTCCAAGGGACGAGAGGATTAGCTGAGGTGTGTGCCTAGACATAATCAACGGGACAATATGTACAAGGGTATCGATCTTCGGTGGACTGCCAAGCTACATCGCTCAATCAATTGATGGCCTCACTCACGCATTCTGAACCAAACACAACCACAAGGCCGCCCCCGGTGCCTGGCTCTGTCACGTCCTGTGTCCTGTTCAATGTACGTTCCTTGCCGCAGCCCAGCTTAGTGATTCTGCAGGTGGTGATGGTGATTCTTGTTTTGTATTTTTACTTTTATCTTTTTTTATTCACTTGTTCGTTTTTCCTTTTCTCTTCTGCGGTATGCCCTTGCTAGGAGACATGGGGAACTGGGATTCGGTCTGAAAACCCTGACTGAGAAGCCCAAAGTGCGAAGTATGCGCGACGTGCTCGCATGTCTTACACGCACATCTGGCAGCTCGTTTTTTTTTTTTTTTTTCTTCTTTTCCACATTTCCCCCCCCTTCCCAACGTACCCAAGACCTAGACGCAGACCTATACGCACACACAACACACGCACGCACACGCACATCAATGATACACTACAGATACATGAGATGTCCACGGAGCGCCATGGATCTTGACATCTTTCGTTCCAAACTACGTCCAAGGTACACATCACACACCACACATCACTCCAGTCTGCTTTGCAAAACGGCAGCCCGTCTTCCTCTAAATGATTGCTGCCGTAGAGTGGCGGCCTGCTCATTTCTTTGCCCAAGTACTACTCCATACTCTCTACCTCTAAATACACTGCGTTTGATGCTCCAGTTTTAATCCGAATCTTACGTTCTGTGTCCACTGCTCTGCCCCATCATGTCCGGCCCCTTGTCCCACGCCGTCGCTTCTGTCACAGGAAACCTTCTTTGCCTTTCAAGCGCTTCAATCGTACTAGACCGCAATCGTCTACCTCCCCCCCACCTCCATACAGCCTTAGCCTACTGCTTGTCCACTCCCAATACCACTACCAGGGCCAGGACCAGTGCCAGTGCCGTCCCCCAATGTGGCTATCGTCAATCCATCCATCCCGAGAAATCCGCTTTTATATCCGCTACTCACGAGCTGATGTTACAATTTGCATGCCGTATCCGTCTCTTCTTGGACTGGCGCTGTTCCCCCGATCCCTTTCTGTGACGTCCAATCCCGGTCCATGTCTGGACTCGCTTTTGCCCCGTCTAGCCGTCTCCGAAGTACTTCCTCCATGTGCCTTTTCTCTGGGGTTTTACGTCCTTCATACCCTTTCCAATTTGATATCTTTTTTATTATTATTTTTTTTTTTCCCTTGCTCTGCCCTTCGTGCGTCACCACCTAAACCATCCATAATATGATTTTTTTCGCACACCCCTCCGCTTTCAACCTCCAGATTGGTACACGCCCCCATCCCTGACCAACATAGCAATTTGACTTCACTCCTCGGCATTAGTCCCGTTCGATCGTTCCGAGACTAACACGCCCAACACCCTTTTTCCCTTTGGTCTTGAGTGAATGGAAGCTAGCTTGTCCACGGTCCCACTTTCCGTCCTATCAACCTGGTGTAGTTCGTTTTCACATCTGCTTGTGCCGTAAGAGATTTCCAATTCCACCTCCCTTGAGGTCCATGCTCCATACTGTCTCCTCGTTGGCTACAAACGCATGCTACGTCCTGCGAGGACATTCACAATATCCCAAAGGGGGGGGGTGTGTGGGGTGAAGCAAGTGAAGCTCATGGGCTAGTGCTCGAGGTTTGCTATCGCTTCCACACCCCCTCTCTCATCTCGATTCATCTCTGAGCTACGCCGGACCTTCTTCCTCGTCTCCGCTCTCCGGTACTTTGTAGGCCCTTCCTCCCTCTACCGCGAGTCCGTCACATCATGCCATGGTCCTCCTCTCCTTGCTCGAGCGGGGGGCAAGGATGGACTTGGCGAATCGACTCTGAGCATCCAATGCCTCCGATCACGAGATGAGGAGCCCGGAAGGGCTCCTGAAAAAGTATAAAAGGGGCAGTTGTGATCGAGTTGGATCCATCTCAACCTTCTCCTCTTTTCTTTCTTTTTTTTCTCTTTTTCTCCAAGTTCCAAAGGTCTCTCCTCTCCCAGAGTCAACTGCCTGTCTTGAACATACCCTCCAACTTGTCAAAACACTCTTCCCAAGTAGCACTTAACCATATACCCCAAGTCCCACCACTCTTGATCTGCTCCTTAGCACAAACCAGGAAGACACCTCCACGAAGCCTTCTCTTTTCTCGTTGCTATCCTTCTACTACGAGTGTTCTACCACAGCTCCCTGGACAACTCAATCATTTCTACTTGCCTCCCCACTTAAACTAGTCACGCATCCCACACACTCTTCCCGACATCATGTCTACCCACTACACTCCCGCCTACTCTCTGCCTGTGCGTGTGCCCACCAAGGGCGGCCAGTACTCGGGCTATTCCAGCGCGTACTCAGTATCCCCACCAGAGGTCGATGACGACCTTAGCTCCACGTCCGGCGTTGCCTCTTACAGCAACAGCGGATATGACTCTTCTTCCTATGCCGGAAGCGGCGACTACGATAGCGCCCACTCCGCCAGCGGCATTGATTTCAATGAATACATGCAAGATCGATTTGCCAGCACATTCAATCCCATCCCGCTCGATAAGAGCATGGTCACCCAGGCGCAAACGTAAGTGGCTAATTCCAATTCCCGCGTAATTTCGTTCCCGCGCTTGGGAATTCTCGTCAGCACTTTCTCCTCGGCCAGTTCTCCACTTTTGCGGTTGCGAGGAGAATTGCGAGGGGTAAAAAGCAAAATTGAGGGAATTCCCCGTGGAGGCACAGGGGGAACGAGCGGAGAAATTAAAGCTAATTGGCGCTTTTCAATGCAGGTCGGGACACCTGAACGCTAAGCATCGTGAGCTGCTTGAATTGCAGAAGAAGGCGCAGGCTCGCCTTGCAAAGACTCGCGAGCGCTTCCAGGATGGTCTCCGTGATGCTCGCGAAGTTCGCGAGGATCTTGAATGGACGGAGAAAAAGATTAAGTGAGTTTTCTTTAGAAAAAAAGTTGGCCCCATTTTGCTTATGTTCTGTGCATTCCGTTCGTCGCCAATTGGAGGTTACTGCTTGTTTGCGCAAGCAACAAGCGTGCGTTGGCGAGATCGAGAGATACAGATCATCAATCTTGGTATATTTTGCGGCTTTCGAAAACTTGGAGACTAACAAAAATGCGCGAACAGGACACTCAAGACCAAGGCAGCCCGCAAACACCCCAAGGAGTTCTCTAAGGCGAGGACGCGATATCCCTCGCCTGAATAAATGCTCCTTGCCCTGGGAAAAAAAAATCGGGGAGGCGCGGCGGCAGCCATGACGTCGATGATGATTTTGAGCCTCATTTCATTTGACCCCCTGGTTTACACGCGATTGCGACAACCCCCACCCCTTTGTGATTTAAACTAACACACGCACAACACGCACACACCCCAGGTTTGGATTTCTGCAGGAACGGGAAAACGGGATACCAGCGGATCGGATATTTTGTCGCTTTTTCACACATGGATGGGTAGCTTATTTTTCTGCTTTGTTTTTTTTGCACACACCCCTGCCCCATCTGTTTCCCCCACACTTTTTGCGGTCAGAAATGCCTGCGGATAGCATTTTTGGTACTTGCGGGGAGATCGTTAGGCGCTGACCACAGCCCAACTCGGCACTATCTGCCGATCTGCAGGTGCAGAAAGGCGCAGGGGCCTGGTAACTGTGGATCGCGGCTACCGTGCTTTCTCGGCCCGCTGCTGGAGATTGCAGGTGTGAAGGAGGGTGTACCTCCGAAGGGAGGGGGAGGGGGACACCCAAGATGGAGGGCGAAACGGACAGGGGCGCTGGTTCCACGAAGTTATGACTTATGATTGGATGATTTTGGATGATTTGGCGACGCATTCTAAAAGTACACCTCCTCCATGGGGCGCTATTTCTGGTAACATTGGCCGGGTATGTGGGAATGACAGGGAATTGTGACAGGAAAAAGGAATGGGGGTGGGAATTGGTGGGGTCCCCACGCTTTCTGCGAATTGGGGGGGGAACGACTAGTGTCGAAGGCCAGGGTAGATTTTCCCTTGGGGGCGACGGGGGGGAACCAGGTTTCGCTCCCCGCTCGGCCGAGGAGGCGGCCTGGGACCTCTCTCTCCAGGGATGAGCCTGATCTGGAAGCAGAACGGATTCTAGAAAACTGTGAGCAGTTTCTCTTTCGGGCAAAACGGAAAGAGGAGGAAAGAGAGATGACGGTGAGGAAAGGGGGCGGACAGATATGGTACTCTTTTGGGTTCGGCGGGTTCATGGGAGGCTGGTTTCAATAATGTGTGTCCTTTCTTTGTCTTCTTTCTTTCCTCCGTTTCAGACTGTATTAGGGTTAAGATTGGACTGGGATGGCGGTGGCTCTCTGATTTCTCATAGTACCTGAAAAGCATCTTGCTCGGTCTTGCTTACGTGCCCGTAAAACCATGGCCATCGTGTCCTTCCCTCGTAGATAGTCTCTCTTAGATGACAGCGGCGCCTCTCATCATGTGACATCCTTTGGTAGGTACCCAAGGCCGTGTATGTTGGGTTCAAAAGGCTGGATGGGCCAGAGCCATGATGTAGGTGAGGTCGGGCACTGAGACGTGAGGACGCGATCACGTGATGTAGCATGTTGTCCGACCTGAGTCCTGCAGGTAGCAAGTGGTGTTCAACGCGGCGTGTGCGTGTGTATGTAGCCAGCACATATGTCCGTGGGATGTTGCAAACATGTTTGCAGTTTGGGACCAAGGTGGCTTGGACATTGAAGGACATGCGTGGTCTTGAACGTGTGTAGTTCGTTTCCTTGCCAAGTCCATCTTGCCCAACGCCACGGGGCGAAGGACGGCTGGAGGCACTTCACAGCTCCTTTGTTCCTCCCCCAATCCGCCAAATCCACCACTTCCCCCAAGAAAAAAAAGGAGACAGAAAGATAATAGAGGAAGTTCAAGATCCGGGATTCCTCAAACTTCCCCCCTCATACCCATGGCCCTTTGCAAGCCACGACCCTTTCTCCCCAACCCCAGCCTCCCTCTCCAGCTCCGCCCAAGGATTCTCGTTCGACGTCGGATCATAATACCCCTTCCACCACGGCCCGTCCTTTCTTCGTCCCTGTGCGTGTCCACCGCCGCCGCCGCCGCCGGGACGTCTTTCTTGCTGCTGCTGCTGCTGCTGCGTTTGAGGTTTCGGAGGCAGGCTGGCGGGTGGGGGAGGAAGAGCGCTCGGTGGAGGGGCGGTTGCGTTGAGGGAGAGCTTGCGCTTTTTGGGGTTTTGGGAACCGAAGGTTGAGAAACCTAGGGTTTGCTGGAGGAGGGCGTCTTCTGTTGCTTCTTGGGGTTCGGCCATTTTCTTTTCCCTCTCTTTTCTGGCTCCTTGCGAAGATGTCTCGTGAAGAGTTCTCGGCTTGACTGGTGTGTGTTTTCGGGAACTTTGATAGTGGGTGAATGCGAGCCTTGGGGTGCGAGTCGTGTTGCTCTGGAAATCTTCGAGTCTTGGATTCAGATGAGGGTTTGGCTTCTTTTATCTTCTCCTTGCCCCTGCTGTAGGATTGCGGAGAGGTGCGGATATTCAAAATCGAGGGTCTTTCCGGGTGGTTGTCGTCGTCGCTTAGTCAGCCACGATCTGGACAACCTCGAATCGGGAAACCACCTTCATCAGTGAAAGCATCGACAAAGACATCACAGGTCAAAAGGAGCAGGTTCGAAGTTTTGTTCAAGTTTCAAAATAAAAATCCAATTCCGGGACTTCATCGCAGTCGTCCACCCAACTATCCACTACATGTCAACATCGCATATATCCTTTCTATATAAACCGCCCCAAAAAAAAAGATGCACCACAACTCGCATAAAAACGAGATGACCAACACAGCTGTTCTCCATCACGATGTTTCATTCAACAAGGCAAAAATAAGAAGAAATTCCCAATACTAACCAAAAAAGAGGGGTATTCGATGATGCGGGGAGTCAGACAAAAACAAGAGACAAGAAAAAGGGAAGCACTGCTTAACATAGAGATTTAGGTCTGGAGGGACCATAGAGAGAGGGTGCAAAAAAAAAAAAAAAACGGGTTAGCAGAATAAACGAAAACCACGCTGAGATGATGATGTGCTTCCTGTATGGCATGATATTGCGTTTCAGTAGGGAGAATGTAAGAGCGAGTGAGTAGGTGAGCGAGAGAAAGAGAGAATGTATGTGCGTGTAAGAGGTCGTGGATATGGTAGAGTCGGTTCCGTATTAGATTAGAGGGGGTCTCGTAGGAGCGGCAGGTAATTCGCAGTAAGAAAAGAGATCGCCGGCCGTGGATATCGAAAAGAAAGCAAGTGATTATGACTAGACCAGCCTGTTTCTGGCATCGGCAAGATTAAACGGAATATGTGAAAGATATACACATGTAAAGAGTTAAAAGTAGAGAGAGAGTGAGCGAGCAAGGGGGGAAGCGAGAGTGAGAGGGCGAGAGGGGGAGACGGCCGCCGGATCTACTCGAGGCTCTCCGAATGGCGCCGGATCTCCTCATCCGACAACGCGCTCATCCAAAGACACCTCTCTGTGATTCCTTCAATAGGTTGAAACTCATACAACGTACTCTCCTCAAGCAGCCTCAGCAACGACTTCACCACGGATGCCGCGCAGCGACATCTCTCAAAGTTAACAAGCGGCGCCGTAGTCGGCGAGCTCGCAATCTCCGAAGGCCGCTGCGCGTTGAAGAGGAGGTCGTGCGTGTAGATGCCCACGAAGGGAATGCACCCGGAACTCGCGCCTCCTTCCATCTCGGCGCGGAGGCTGTGGAAGTTTCGCGTGGGGGAGACGAGCTGCTCGAGATCGCGGAACGTCTTGACGTCGTGCGGGGGAACGAGGGCCCAGGTTTGCGAGAGGCGCGTTACTTCCTGGCTCGAGAGTGCGATGACGATCTGCGCCATCGTGGCGAAGTTGCGGTACCGGCGGCTGTGCGTGGCGATGTGGATGAACTTGATGATGCACCGCGCGCGCTCCTCCATGTCCTGTGTCAGCACGATCTCGGACACGGCCCACTTGACCATGATGTTGAAGCGCGCGATGACGACCTCGACGCCGCGCGCGTCTGTGTTCCGCAAGAAGTCGACCCACGAGCGGGAGTCGTTGTTGGTCGCATTCTTCCACTCCATGTCGATGAGCTCCTTCCAGTCAATCTCGTTGAGCGCGTCCTTCTCGATCAGTGTGAACTGCTGAGCGAGGATCTCCGAGTCAAAGGCGAGGATGAAGGGTAGATGGATTGAGTACTTGTGGCTCAAATCGGGATCGGCAATCTTGGGCGCTCCGCGCAGAGCCTCGGCCGTGCCGGTGGGATCACGGGGCGACATCGGTCGGAAGGTTGTCGTCGGCGTCGTGTCGGGAGTGGGCGGCAGCGGCTTCTGCACCCATAGCTGATGCTCGTGGAGCTGAGGGACATTGGCAGCCTCGGGAGACATTTGCAGCGCTTGAGCAAGCGTCTTGGGCGGCGACAACTTGTCGTCGACGGGAGGGGACATCATTCCTTTGGACAGGATGAAGCCTTGGCGAGGTGACGGAAGGTTGTTAGTCGATCCTAGAGCATAGGTATCAATTTCCGGAGCCTCGGACAGCTCCGATGAAAGGTCGCTGCCGCCGCCGGCATCACTGTCATCATCAAGGAACGACGTATCTCCTTCATCGTCCTGTCCGTCGTTTTCGACTGGGCCTTCGGGTCGCTCTATTTCCGCCCCCTTGATCCGCCTAAGAGAGGGAGTCTCTTGAATCAAGTCAAAGGACGCTTGAGCAGATCTTTCGGTCCCATCCTCGTCGCCGTTATCCTCCCTCTCGCTTTCAAACGGAGAGTCGTCATCGGCTCCTCGAAGAATAGAAATATCCGCCCACTCCTTGGTCGATGGCCTGGTCTGGCCCTCATCAGCAAGGCCTCGGTCGAGCAACGGGATAGAGCAATACGAGGGCTCAGAGGACAGGAAGGATCGGAGTTCCGTGACCGGCCTCTCAGGAGACAACAAGAAGCTGTTGTGAACATCGGATGACGGCTCAGGGATGCCGCTGAGTCGATGGTTTAGGATGCCATCGTCCGCACCACCCATGATCTCCAAGTGGCGGCGTTCCCTCTTCTCCTCCTGCGCCTGAGCCGGGTCGCCGAGGGCTTTACCGATATCCTCAGGATCAGTCTGGGGCGAGATACGGTGCTCGGCAGGCGGCCTAGGCTTCTTCTCGTACTTGCCCTCGAGCTTCAACAACGCAGACTCCACACCACCATCGTCATCGACGTCATCGGGAATCTGGGCCAACTTTCGAGCTTCGGCCTCGAAGGACGGCCGCATAATCGGTTTCGACGAATGCGTGCTAAACAGGGAGAGTTGCCTCTTGCTGGGTTGGTTCGCAAGGGCACCCAATGAAAATGTCTCGTTCTGACCCTGGGAGAAATCGCTCGATACAACGTCGACATAGCCGCTCGACTCGGGCTGTTGCAAATACGAGCTGCGGAGAGATTCAGAGTAAGCAGTCAACGACCCAACTGACTGGGAATGCCTTAACGGAGCCGCTAGCTCTCCAACAGTAGCCACGGCGCCAAGGTTCCCACCGGGTCTCCTCCGCAGGACACGAAGAGGTTGCGGCATCACTTCGGAGCTGTCCATGATCGAACCTTCGGACTGAGTCGTTGCGTCGAAACTTCGGATGGTCATAGGACGTGCGGTGCTACTGTGGAACGAATTATGTCGCCGATGAAGAACAGAGCTGACGGAGGGGATCGTTCTGCTTGACCTTTGACGATTATGGAACCTCGTGGAACGGAGCCGAGAGGTGCTAGAAGGATACATGCCGACTTGAATAGACTGTTCCATAGAGGGATAGGAGGCAATATAGGAGGGGTGGTCGGTAGAGGCGCGACCACCTAGTGTAGCCATGTCGGGAATGAAAGGAGGAAGTGGATCGGAGGACAAAGAAGTGCGTGTGAGATGCTGGTTGAGGAGGAAAGAGGAACGTCTGGGAGTGCCCATCGGCCGGCCTGGAGGAGTAGTGGGAGGCGTGGGGTCTCCATTATTGGGCGCAAATGTGTCGGCGAAAGCTTCAAGCGAAGGGTTGATGACCGGGAGAGCGCCGTGCATCGTTGGCATGTCGAACGCCGTATCATCGACAATCACAATCGACTTGCTCCCTGTCGTGATGGCCATCTCGCTCTGCGGCCGGAATCCTGACATCTTCGGCAAATCATCGAACGAGGTATCCAGGTGCGCAGATGAGTACTCGACCGCCTCGTCCGTCCCGTGTCGTAAAGTGTCGTTGAGCACGGGCGTCGTTAACGCCGCTCTCTGCGCCGCCTCCACCGCGGCCTCCGCAGCCGCATCCTCTCGGACCGCCGTTTTAAAATCCTCCGCAATCTCGGCGCCAAGCAAATCTATCCTCACTGGAGGCCGAGTGCCGTTTTGGCGAGGGCGTGCCTGAGGGACGATGGCTGTTCCTGGCAATCTGTTGGTCGTCGCGCCGCGGGGGCCGATGGGGGAAATGTTGATAAAGTTGCCGTGGGTCGTCGAATCGCCCTGACCTCTTGTGCTAAGCGCCCGGCGGACACTGCCAATAAGCCTCTTCATACCCTGGCTGGACATCGCCGACGCCCCAGACTTTTCCTTTTGATCAAGGTTGGGATTCATCTGGAGAACCGTCGTCTCGCGTTGGGGGTCACCGATGGAACTCGGCGAAACAACATCGACAAAGGCGTGGCCAGGCGGTAGAAGGTCACCTCTCACCAGACTACCAGCATATGGCACTGCTAAAGCAATCTCGGTGTTATCCTTGAAGCTCGACTTGTCGACGCTGTGCTCCCGTAGAGAGTCCGTGATGCTTCCGTTACGCTTATGCACAGGGCGTATTCTCTTTCCAACCAACGCCTTGGGTGTAACGGCGACAAGGCCCGTGCTGGTGAGGAGAGGGTTAATCGGGACGGGGTGGGTAGCCGGCGTCATGTGGGAACTTGACTGGAGATTCCTCAAGTTCTTCGCGGGGAACGAGCAAGACACAATGTCTAGGCTAGTGATACTAATAGGGGACCCTGCTTGCCGCCTATCTAGATCCTCAATCGCGTTTTGATACTGGTCTTCCGGCGTTCCAGGGCGCTCCACGACAGACCCATCATGCGGTGTGCTCGCAAGAAACCCTCTCGGCGTAGAAGCCTCGGAGGGTTCAAAGTCCGGAGTCGACATCATCGCGAGATCCAACTGGGGAGGCCCGCAATCAGACGATTCCCAATGGCTAGGGTCAAGGTTCGGGTCCCTATGTCCGGCAATGCCACCAGGCGCAATCGGTGCGTCCCCTGAGTCAAAGTCGAAGCCATCCCAGAACTGGGCGCAAACTCGCCTCCAGCACTTCTTCAACTCGGCCAAGATTTTGAGATGGACCCTGCCGTTCTCGATGTCTTGGGACAAATCATCCACGAGATCATTCAGAAGGTTGCAAAAGGTCACTCGTAACGTGTACTGCACCACGAAGTCGTCGACGAAGTAGTTGAGAATCCAATGGCGCAGTGCAACAAAGGTTCGAACCCTAACAACCATTCCGATCTCATCGCCCCTATCGATGGCCCACCTCAGCCGCGCAAAAAGCATGCGGATGAGATCCATTGGCTCCAGGAAGGCGCGGAAGGTGAGGAAGAAGTCGGATATTAGTTCGTAATCGAGGAAAGTCGGAGAAGTGATCTCGGCCACAAGACGAGGCGGTGTCGCGGCGGTCACGGTGCCAGTAGAAGAAGCATACCTCACAATCGCGCGATCGTCACAGGCAGGCTTGAAGGTTAGGGCATCGAACATGGCTGGTTGGATGACAAGGTGAGTAGAGAGATAGGTAGAACGGAACGGGATTTGGAGTTGAGGCGAAGTTGGACTCAGGACAGGGGGGATAGGGTTGGAGGGGGGAGGCTGCGGTATTGCTGAGATGGCTACATTCAGACGGCTGGGCCGTCTCGACGAGAAGCGGCTGGGTATTGTTAAGGTGGGTTCCCCGAGTCGAGCATTGAGGAAGGAAGGGTGGCTAGACGAAACCTCCTCCGTAGGCGCGTACGAAGATCCCCGTATCACAGGGGTACCCTTCAGGGAAAACCGAGGCGAGCCTATCCTCCAGGAAGGAATAGCAACATCAAGGATTGGCGGGCCAGCAGTGTCGATATCCTCCATTGTCCTCGGCCTCGGCTCGTCCGCGGGCTTCGAGATAACAACTTTGAAAGCCCCATCACCCATCTCCCTTACAACATTGGTTTCGCGGACAGTTGAATCGGAGAGAGCTCGCCGCCTCCTCGGTTGGGGTTGAATACCAGACATCGGGGTTAGTTCAGAGTCGAGCGAAGGAGCAGGCGTCGACTCCCATAGATGGCTAAACGAATTATCATTCGATTCCTCCTTCTGTTTCTTCTCGGCAACAAGCGCATCCAAGCCAGCGGTGCTAGGCGGTGTGACGGGAAAGACGAAATGCGGCTGCGGTGGCCGTTGATGCGCCGGTCGGACAGTCGGCCTATTCCACAATGTCAATCCTTTTACCATTCCTCAATCAACAATCATCTCTTTCCTCAAAGAGGGGGTGGGGATTCAAGTCTCGCGGTGGCGACGACACGAGACAAGCCTCGGAGTAGAAACTGGGGAGCGGCTGCCGTCCCACCAGCAACAGTCCACACGCACCTTAGATATATGCGACCATTGTGCCCGACATTCGCGACAGTAAACTGCCTCCCCTCGCGCCCACCAGAGTTGCCATCGGGGGCAATATCGACTTTCTCGCTCTCGGGATCCTTCCTTATCCTCCATGTATACACATTCTCCTCCTGAGATTTTCGCTCGGTGACGGGAACTAGCGGTCTTGATGTGCCAGAAGGTTGTCGTATTAACCTCCCCGCCCGGAGGGCCGCCGCCGATTCCCTACCACCAGATACGCCTAAAGCCATCGCCCTCGCTAATCTCGCGTCCTGTGCCGGGCCTCGAGTTGGTAACTGGTTGTTTCTCGCGCTGGGATCGCGCTGGGGAGTGCGGGCGCTGAGGTCGGCGACGGTTGGCGGGTTCGAGCCGAGAGGCTGGATCGTCTCCATGGCCTCCATGATCCGGTCGGTGTGCTCAAAAGAGAGAGCTTCGGGGGCTCAATTTATCGAATACTACACGACGAGGCGGCATCGAGTCAATACAATGTTTTCCTCCCAAAAACGAGGCGGCACATTGCCAACAACAAAGAGAGAGACACGCGATCGTCAAGTTCGGGGCTCGTGTCGGAAAAGGTGCGAGGGGAGAAAACAGGCGCGTTGATGTTGTGCGCACCGGGAGTGGTGGTTCAGAGGAGGTTGGCAGCGAGCCGGCTTTTTTTTCCCTCTGGTTATGGGAACGGGAGTGGGTTTCCGGGGAAAGGGTTTTTTCTCCCTATATTTTTTTAATTTGTTGCGGGTTAGACGAGTCGCTACTTACTTGAGAACGCCATCCATCGGGACAATTCGTAGATGCAGAATAACAAAATGAGGCTTCCTGTACTCAGAGGAGGAGAGAAAAAGCAAGACAGTGTGGTGTTACAGAGGTAAAATGACAGGACTTGGAAAGGATTGCTACAAGGTGACGAAGAGGAGATGGATTGATGTTGGTGAAGGGGACGTGGACCAGCGGCTGGCTGGGCTAGGCTGGGGACTCTGGGAGCAAGCTGAGAGTACGAAATGGGACTGGGACCGGCCAGGATCAAGGGACGAGCACCAAGTACTACGAAGCAGTGTACGAAGTACGAGGTACAAGTAAGTACATCAATGTAGTTACTTTGGGTACAGTACAAGTACACACTCTGCCAATCTTGGAAGCTCCGGCCCACTTCCAACCATCAATGGCGTGGAAGTACTTCCTAGCCCGGCTGGGCTGTACCGATGTACCCATTTGTGTCTCCCAAGTACTTTTCCAATAAACACACGCTTGCAGTATTACCTTGAATTCACAGTGCTGTACTTTAATGTGCTGCCCGCTATCTGAGAGTCTTCCTCTTCGTACATGGTCGCAATACATTGAAGAGCCCTTGAGTGGTCGAGAGTCACCTACAGCAGCCACGCGCTCACCAGAACACATCTGTGCGTGCAGAATCGCTCTATTCTTCGACATTTTTAGCATATGCGGAGTGATCCTCTTCGATCTCCTGTCACAGTCACTTCTTTATCTCAGTCATTCAAGGTCAATATCGCCAGGCCATCCGCTCGTCATTACATGTGGGGTCGCAGATAGGCAACTTACACATCCTTGCACTTCATACACTACTTCGTACATCGTAGAAGACGGGACGAAAGACTCCACTGCACAGCGAGAACCGACGGAAATCAGAAAGCAGTATGAGGTACAAAGTACTAGTACAAATACTGTTACCTATTAAATACCACCTGGCACGAGGGGCGGGGAGCATCATCCGAAAGAAGCCCTGTGCTGATGACAGTTTTGGGGGATCAATCATCGAACCAGAATTCGGGCGTGGCGGCAGAGAATGCAGTCACACAGTACGTTTTCCATGGGACATCCATGACCGGGATCTCAGTACTGCCCCCTATTTTGGCTCAACCCATATCTACACTAAGAGGGAGACCAGAGGAAAAGGGAAGAAAAAAAAAAAAGCTTTACCAAGTGGCTGGGTCGACGCGACGTTGGATGGGGCCCTGGGCTAGAAATTACCCTGCGACCCCAAAACCTGCTCATCAATGTTTACCTGTAAATATAGTACGATTTCGCGCCCTTACAGAGAGTGGAGAAGGCAGATTTGCGATGGAATGGATTGGAAACATGAACATGCCTTGAATTAGACGGATGGATTGTCGCAATGCAATGCATAGCAACGGAAGACAGCGACGTTTGTGCACAGGCATGAAGTGTCTTACAAGGAGCATTGAAGTTTGTGCGTCCACGCAAGTGCAATGTTTGCTCTCAAACTCTGACAATATCAGAACATGGAAGTACGAAGTACACAATATTATTCAGCAGTCCACATATCAAGCACAACCAGCAATGAACAGTCCCAAGTCGGCCGAACTTTACGACATACGAGGTACACTGCCGAGGCACCGCAATCCGTTGTCGCCCAGTGGTCCTGGCGAAGGACAATGTACATAGTACGCTCCTGCCATCAAACCTCGCGACTTCGTCCTTCCATTGAGTCAAGATTACTTCGTACACTTCTCTCGCGACCGTGGTACAACGACCCTGGATTAATCTCTTCCATGCTGACTGCCCTTGCTCCTTGCTCCGGGCGGTCAGGCTTGGTGTAGTTTAGTTACTCCGTGGACATGGCTTAACATGGCCTCGCCGGCCCCACACGAAGATTGACCCGGGTGCGTAACAGCTTTCGTCACTGCATGACATGGTTGAAAGTGCCGCCCCTCCACCATTCTATGAAGGAGGACCTTGACATTGATGCGTCATGAGGAACATTCTCGGAAGAGAGGCTGCCTTCTCTTGCATCGATCAATGATGTAGACTTCGTGCGAAGTAGATTAATACTTCGTAGGCAGAAGGGCAACGTGCAGGTTCAGGTTGGAGACAATGCAAAGTACAATGGAGGATGGAAACATCAGTTGGCGTAGCATGGACGGAACAGTATCATGATGAAGCGCAAGGTGCAATAACTCACTTGGTAAAAGGCCCTAGCAAACTGGCGAACAGCCAGTTGTATTCTCCAATCCATCAATTGATGGTCCTGCACGCTGCAGAGGCTGGTTAAGGTGATGGACTGTGCAGCCTAACGCTGCAATGTCCATCACGGGCCTGCAGGCCTTGAGCATAACGGCCAATCGAAATCCCTGCCTCCTCTATTTTACGACTCTGTTCTTGACAATCCTTCTTCCCTTCCGCACTCCGATGAACTTAAGCGAGATGCGCGAATCAAGTGTGCCAATTGCTCATGCCGAAGACCTTCGAGACAAGATCTCTATTACTTCTTTTTCGGAACCGAATGGCCACCAGCATGAGAAGCATCACTTCAATGATCACTGAGAGACGGATCCCTGGGCTATATTAATGAAAGTACGAAGTAATTCGGACATGAAGCCACCCACTTCCTGTCCCTGGTCTCCCTGGTCTCCAAGGCGGAGGGTCCCCTGGTATCTATCCAATTGAGAAGTACTTCGTATATCCCCACGACCAGGCATTGCCCATTCTTACAGGGGGGGAAATTAGTTTAGCTCCCGGACAAACAACTGACTGCCTTGGGGCTCGGTAACAGTGGACAGTGGGATGGAGCGTGCCGAACGTGGTGACCTCAGTTAATTACACTCGAAATGAAGACACGATGAAAACCCTGGGTTGAGCAAGGAAGTCCCTGTATTTGTGCCCAGAAGTGCTTGTAATTGCTGAACAAAGAGCATCGTGCGTTGCGAGGGAAGTAAACGATGAATACATGTACAAGGTACTTCGTACGAAGCACAAAAATTTCGGAGGCTATGACAAAGAGCAGGAGTGCCCCGAAATTTGAAGCATGGGAACAATCCCGAACCTGGCGATTCAGGCATTCAATGCTGATATGCCCTTGACGCTGATCAAGGCATGCTCACCCCTCATGACTCTTTGCCAGACTTTGCCCCACGTCCCTTCCAAATCACCTTGATGTTCCATATGATGCTGGATTCTTGGAGAAGACCTGCCAAGCGATTTTGCCTGGCTAGGCCAAGGACTGGTGGAGAAGCTGACTTCGGTGCATTAGGGAGTGGGTTTGTGGCGGGCTCTCAAGTTTTCTTTTCTTTGTCGTTCGCTAGGCGAGGAATGAATCCCGCGCCGCTTTCATGTTGTTGGGGAAAGGATGAATTCCCAGCTCAGTGTCCGATTTTCTGAGGCTCGACCGACTGTGACACCCAAGACCTGTAAGTAGCTAGACGACATATTGAGTCTTGCGAAGCAGGTTATTGATCACGAGAAACTCGGTTTCAAATTGGTGGCTTTGCTCCCGGGGAAGCAGGAATGGGAATGGCTTCTCCTTCGTACGAAGCACGAGGCCTTTGTCCTCCACGCCGATTTCCTTGGCAAACGGCGAACGCACAAGACAATCTTCTTGCCTCCCTTCTCTCGCAGGTTTATTCTTGCTTTTTTCCGGTCCTCCTTCACAAAGGCGGACAGACGGCAGGGGTCAATTAACAAGCCGTCCGCGGCACCAAATTAGAACATATCCGGGGGGGGGAGCTCAATTCCAACGCCCTGCGTCCCCGCAAATGCCAGAAATCTCCAATCGAGGAAAGTAGCGTTCGTCTCGATCAAAACAAAAGAATGCTGTCCCGGGTTTTTCACAAGTTCAAGTTTGTTTTGGGCAATTCGACTTTCCTGACGCGGCCTTCCGGTTTGAAGGACCGGGCAATGGCATTGAGTTCTCGGGCTTTTCAGAGTGCATAATCCGCGGACTATTTCTCCGGAAGATCCAGGTTTACTATACAGGTATACTCGGTAGTTTTGGGCAAGGATACCTTCGCGAACCCGGATTCAACGCGCTGGAAGTGCGTTAAGAGAAAAAAGACTTGCTCTCAGGACTTCGAGGTGAGGATATTCTTCACCTCGGCAAGTTCAGGACGCGTTTCCAAATTCCATGCCTCACTCAAAAGTAGTACATGAGCGTTCAATATACCGGAAACATTGGGGAAAACATGGCAGGACCACAATTTCGCAGAACGACGCGTGGGAACCTGCCACGCGGCCGAGTCTTGGATGTCTCGCTCCTGAAGAAAACAATCAAGAGAGCCATCTTAATACACCGGCAAGCCAAGAGATCATTCCTTTGGAGTCTATCCTCCCACACCTCCTCAGGTATCTCAACCGAACTGATCACGCACTAAGGCAAGCCACCTCCATTTTCGTCCAATATTGCAATAATCCCACGCAGTAGCTTGGCATACACGACCCTCGAATGCGATCTTCTTCGCATCTTCCTCGTTTAATAAACTTGATGGCTTAAAGTGAGACACGAGACTTGTTCCAAGGGAAGTCTAGCTCACCCACAAGCGGCAGCCTCGATTTCCCCATTCGTACTCCACCCCCTTCAATCTACATTTCCAGAAGCCTGATAACATGCAAGAACGAAGAAACAACAGGGTTTTAAACTTTGGCTACTCCAAACTGGTGGTGTGTTCGAGTGATGTTCTAGCCTCTCATGACAAGGTTCTAGTCTCCTCTCAACTGTTCAAACTATTCAAACCTTGGGGACCGTATACTAGTACTCGGTTGGAACTTGGAGGTACATTCTGTGGAGGGCTGCCAAGCACGAACGATGTGTAAAACTAAAGGACTAAATCGGAAACTATCTACTATCTGCTAGGGACGTGTAAAGAAGTGCCATGTGTGGTTTCTATTCCATGAGGGGCCCACGCTAAGTAATGACCCCAATCGCCCGGGAGGGGCTCAACGGTCGTAGAGATTCGACTCGCAAAGAGATGGGAGATGGCCTGCCCTAGCGATTACACTAGGGCTGAGAGAACATCTCAAGGAATCTCTTTCGAATATGGCGTTGGAAGAGCCACAACGGCTTCACTATCTTAAAACCAACGATGATCCACCCCGACCTCGCTATCAAAAGTCCCCCCAAACTCATGACGACATCGCCAACCGCTCAACAAGGGGTCCTGCAGAACACCCACGTTTTCACGCCAAAGTCGGAAATAAAAGAAAAAATCCCTCGGTGGGATTAACCCATACCCCCGCATACTCAAAGATACAGAAAAGTAGACGAACTAGAGCCATGAAGAGTTTAGAAGAGGAAGTCACACAAATTATATGGTCTTGTCGTCCTATGTTCATATGCGGGCATGTTGGGAATGGGCTGGTCTACTGGACTGAGCCCCCCACTTGATGTTGCATCCGGGATCGGTGTCGGATGTCCTGAACCGCGGTGCTGGGTTACGTCGCGGGGTTCATTGGCTCCCTGCCACGAGGCTAGAAGGGGCGCGCTATCCGATCTTTGGGCTTTATCGTCCGATACTTGATGGCTATCTTTTTTTGCGAAAGTGGGGGACTTTGGTCCGTCCCATGTTTAACGAGGTGGACGACAGACAAATAAGATGGACTCCAGGGCACAGCGAGATTCCTGGCAACGAACAGGCCGATGAGCTCTGCTCAGGAAGCCTACAAGCTCCCAACAGACTACGAAGACGACAAGCCCCCCTTCCCAGGCATCAGAGCGGAGGCGAGAAGGAAATAACTGCGTACATACCCCCCAGAGAGTCTAATATATGCCAGGCTATCAAGTGGCGAACAGCAAGGAACTTGAACTCTCTATCAAAACCCTGACATAACTTGACAAGCATGTTGAGGCCAACTCCGTAGACTGCTGTAAGGCCTGCCAGGACCAGAACCACACCCCGTACATGCAGCTATAAGCATAAGGAACTGGGGAGCACTTCATCTTCCAACGGTCGATGATCCATTGACGAAGTTCAACGTAGTTGAATATTCTTCAACGGCTCCATCTACCAGTTCACAGAGGAATTCAAGGGTAAAATACAGCCTGTAACTGTGTGCCTCAGGTAACTCTCGGAGTCACTTCATGTTCTCGTCACTGTAAACCTGTTCTGATGACAGCAAACTGCCCTCTCTCGACTCTTTACTTTGGGGATCAAATAGTCACACACAAAAAAAAAAAAAAAAAAAAAAAAAAAAAAAAAATTACTGTCAAATATACGAATTACGAATTACGAATATAAAATGGGCCCAAACGATCGTCTTTTTCATTCTCATGATCTTGGACTATGATGAGAGGGCTCCCGTAATTATGGGTGCCATCTTGTCCATCCAACCAGGCAGTGCTACCCCGCCCGATTGCCAGGTCCGACCCGCAGGAGACGACATCTACGCCTTGGGCATACACGCACCAGGAATGGCGACGCCAGCCGACACCACGATGAGGACTCGCCCTCAATCAGTGAAAACGGGAGTCATTGGATCAATTTTCTTCGGCGCAGCGCCATGTTAGTGAGTAGCGGTGAGAATGGTTGGAATGGCTGGAGACCCAGCGGTAAGGTGATACCGCAACCCTTAGCCCGCTGTCCGAGACCCTTGCGTAGCTAATAACTAGTGTCCGCGTCGATGCTCTAGCAAGCCGGTATGACTACGGTGCATCTACGGCCCACTGAAAACGGCAACTCTCGAGAGCGCGCATCGTCCCTTAGCTTTCGCCAGAACAGGCTTCACAGACTGAGCACCATTTCGTCCCGCTTGTCCTCCCGGCCCGCTAACGGCGTCGAATCCAAAGCCGATATCAACGGACCGCTCGGCCTGAATCTCCTCAATGAGCCATCCGAGCCCCGCGTTGACTTCATCTTTGTGCGTTTCTCATCACTACTTCAAAATACCATATTTAAGCGCGACTACTAAACTAAGTTTCGGGCAACACAGATACACGGCCTAGGTGGAGGATCTAGGAAAACATGGAGCTATTCGCCTGACCCTCACATGTTCTGGCCCAAGGAATGGTTGCCGAACGAAACCGGGTTCAGGCATGTTCGTCTTCATAGTTATGGGTATAACTCCGACTGGACTACGAGGAAGGACAGCCACTTGACCGTCCATGATTTTGGACAGGCGTTGCTCGCTGACCTCCGTAACTCCCCCCACCTCCGCAAAAATGGCCATGTAAGTCGCTTCAATTCAGGTGCTGTTTTGGTGGCTTCTGCTGACGAAATACCAGACCCCGATTGTGTTTGTGGCCCACAGCATGGGTGGCTTGGTCGCGAAGAAGGCAGGTTGAGAGAATTCGAAAGGCTTTGGATATAATCTACCTTGGACGAAGCACTGACAATCTCTAGGCATACCTCCTAGCTACCCGAGACCCAATCTACCAGGATATTGCCCGACGAATTCACACCATGTACTTTCTAGGTACTCCACATCGCGGAGCCGATTCGGCGCACATTGCAAAGCTTCTACGTCGCTCGGTCGGTTATGGGACAAAGGCGTTCCTTGATGACCTTGTACCGGGCAGCGATACCCTCTATGTTAGTCGAGACTTATTTCTTTGGATAGTCCCGAACACAGCACGACTCTGACGCTTGCTCACAGCAAATAAATGATGAATTCCGGCATGTTTGTGAAAATATCCGCCTTTGGTCCTTCGCTGAGGGCCTACCGACAAGTTTCGGTCTTACGTCGTCACTAGTTGTAGAAAAAGAATCTGCAGTTTTAGGTGGGTGGTATCTTAATCGACTTGCCTTCGTTAACTACCTGCTGATTCAATCTTATTTTGCAGGGCTACCCAAAGAACATGTCCGGTATATCGAAGCCGATCATCGTCACATTTGCAAGTTCGACTCCCCAACCAATCCCAACTACATGACCCTACGGAAAGCGTTCCTGACTACTGTTGAAGATCTGGAAGCTGACGGTGAGTTTACTAGGTTCCTAGATACGATTGTAGGATGCTAATTCTCACAGCTCCGTTCCGGCGGCGGGACGAATACACATCTCAGATGAAGAAAGTTGCTTCACTTCTACGAGTGGATCAGAGACCGGATGCGGTCCTCCTGGCAACAAGCGAGAAGCAACATTCTGGGTCCTGTCAATGGTTGACGGAAAGCAAGACGTTCCAAGAATGGGTAGAAAATCCGGTTGTTTGTTCGGAAGAAGAAATTGCCCCATCAAAAGAGCCTCCATTGGCTAAACAGCCAAAAATCTTATGGCTCAAAGGCCGCCCCGGAACCGGTAAGTCGGTGGCCGCCGGCCATGTCGTCCGCTACCTACAAACGTGCAACCTCGACTGCAGTTTCTATTTCTTCGAACATAAGAACCAAGGTGGCTCGACAGTAGCCGCGTTTCTTCGATCTCTAGCATTTCAAATGGCTGAATCTAGCTTCGAGGTCCGCCGCACCGTCGTGTCCATGGCAGAGGACGGCATCAAAATCAATCACGACGACCACCATATGCTTTGGACTAGTCTCTTCGCCGAGCGAATCTTGAAGGTGGAGTACACTCGGCCTCAGTTTTGGGTGATAGATGCAGTCGACGAATGCTCGACTAAGGGTATGCCAGCCCTGGTGTCGATGCTGTCAAGCCTAGGCAGCAAGACTCCTGTCCGAGTCTTCATGACCAGCCGGCCTGGTGGACAACTGGGACGACTCCTCTCATGGGAGTGGACTGAGTTTTCCGAGATTACCACCGGACAGGAAGGATCTTTAAGGGACATTGAGCTCTTTGTGAAGGCTAGGTGCTCTGGGGCAAGTGACACTGGCTTGGTCGCGGATGTCCTTGCCAAGTGCAACGGCGTCTTCCTCTGGGCTTCGCTGACAGTGGCCAAGCTGGAGGAAGCGTACAGCGTCGAGGATAAACAAGATATTCTCCGGCAAATACCACCCGAGATGGACATGTTCTACTCCCGCATTATCACGTCTATTGCCGGGTCGCCGAGCTCCGAGCTTGCCAGATGCATCCTAAAATGGACGATCTGCTCACCTAGACCGCTCTATTACGGAGAACTCGCAGAAGCTGTGAAGCTAGATATTAGCCGAACGTTAACAGCATCCGCAAGTGAGCTCGAAACAATGGCGGGGCATCTCGTATTCGTGGATACCCAGTCTCAGATTCATATCATGCACCAGACAGCGTCGGAGTTCTTAACCCGGAAAAGGGAAGGCTTTTGGATCGACCGCGCAGCAGCGCACTCCAAACTCGCCGAGATTTGCCTTACTGTTCTCTGTGGGACCGAATTCGCGCCACCAAGACTGCGTCGAGGGGGCACAACCAAAAGTACTGCTCTTGCAACCAAAAGCACTGTCCTCTCACCACTTGCCGACTACGCTGCCCTCAACTTCTCGTACCATCTCATGCATGGCTCTCCCGCCGCCGACGGGCCCCTCATCCTGCTGAACAAATTTCTCAAATCTAATGTTCTGACGTGGATCGAGAAAACAGCCAGCACCGATAATCTCTGGACCCTACAGATCACCGCTCAAAGGTTGAAGGCGTATCTAGGCCGACGAGCAAAGTACCAATCACTAGTTAGCGTCGAAACTGAGACAGTTGCGAGGTGGGCTGCCGATATCTACCATATAGTTGCGGCCTTTCATTCTAGTTTGCTCACTTCGCCATCTTCGATTTACCTCCTCATCCCCCAACTTTGTCCTCCTAAGTCGATTATCCGGAAACTTTTCGCCAAACCATCTGGGCAATTGAGAATTGCAGGTTCGTCAGAAGAAGACTGGAGCGAGAGGCTAGCGTGTTATTTGTTCCCAGAGGAGGCGTCCGCTGTTACCTGCTGTGCCCGATTCCTCGCAGTCGGTCTTACCGATGGCGACATTAGAATCTACTGTATCGCCGGATCTGATACGTTCGACTCGGCGGGGACGTTAGCACATGGGAAAAAAGTCCGACAACTAGCCTTCAACCGGTCATCTTCACTCCTAGCCTCATGTAGTGCTAGAAAGCTAATGCTATGGGATATCCATACGTCTTCTCGCGGGTCTTCATTCCCATGTCTCTGGTCGCGGAACCTCGATTTCACCCCATCGCACATGGCCTTTCATCCAGATGGGAACTCTATCGTGCTCGCAAACCCCCAACACAGTTCAATCGTCGCTTTCGAAGCTGCGGATGGCCGTAAGGGAGAACCGATCCTCCTTCACGCATTGGTAGACTCGGACTCGAGCTCCTCTGATGATGAGAGTGGTGACGAACAGGTAGCTGCGTGGATGCCATCAGAGTGGATTCGACTCGATGCCAGCCACAGACTCGCTGCGCTGGCTTATAGGAATGCGACCGTCTTGATATGGGATCTGGATTCCATCGAAGAAATCGGCAAATTTGAAAGGGAAGCATTCGAGGATGTATACGTTACCGCGCCACCTCTTGACATGATATTCAACCCAATTTCCGAGCTCGAACTCCTTGCCATCACATACAAGGACGGAGACATGGTGACGTGTAACCCCTGGACTTTGGAGCAGACGAATAAATGCCATCTCCCAGTCTTACTATTTACGCTAGCCACCACCTCGGATGGTCGGGTCCTGGCAGGCGCGACAGACGATGGAGAAATCTATCTCTTCCTATGGGAGACTCTGCAGCGTGTGTATAAAATAAATAGACTCGACGACCAGTTTCGAATCCATGACATTGTATTCTCAACCGATAACCGGCAACTTTTCGACATTGGAGGGCACTCCTGCACTGTCTGGGAGCCGTTCATCCTTGCACCGAGGGATGAGTCGGACGACGGCAAGTCCTCGGAAGCTCACAGCGAAGAAGACATCGTCCTGGAGTCGCCAGTCTCTCTCGCGCGCGTGTTTGAATGGGGGAGGGCGATCACAGCCATCGAACAGGCGGACCACGGAAACTGTCTCATGGTCGGACGACAAGATGGCACGATTGAGATATGCGAGCTGAGAACCGGCGACGTCATGGACAAACTGGCGCTCCACGACTCGTTTGCCGAAATAGAACACATTGATTGGAACGAGGAGAAGGGCGTATTTCTTAGCGTGGATACGATTGGCCGCTGTATACTTACACGACTGTCATTTATTAAACAGGGCACTACCAAAGTGCAGACCTGTTGTTTGTTGGACCATCGAGAAGGGGCCTCTGTTCGGCAGGCATTGATCGGTCCCAAAGCCGAATCGCTGCTTATCTGCACCGAGTCGAGCGCCAAGATCATAGGACTTGATGGAGGTCTCGTAGCAGAGGAGACATGTCTCCCGGGGAGCTGGTGGATGAGGCATCTATCCAACGACTCTCATCTGATCGCCATTCAAGAGAATACTCTCCACCTTTTCGAATGGGCCTCTCTAAAGCGTCTATCACAAACCGACGGAATTGCACTTCTTGTCCCCGAGTTTCCTGTGCAAGTTACAAGCCGGAACCCGTGGATTAGCGGTGCTGGTTCGAGCTATTTCGCGCAGTGCATCGTCGATGGAGCGTCGCGGGTCCGAACAAGCAACATTTTCGCCCTGGACACGTCCGAGATCACCCTCGAAACGAAAGCAATGTCGCTTCAGACGCTTTATACTGAATCGCTCAGGGTACAGGCTGTGCTAGGTTGCTTGAAATCAAGATTATTCATCCTCGAGACGAGCGGATGGGTGTGCTCAATTAGTCTTAAGCGCTTGAGCAAGGCGACTCATTACACGCGGCACTTCTTCATCCCGCATACTTGGCGCTCGGGAGGTGGTTATATCGTGATCAAGGTAGTTTCTAAGACCGCGGTGGCGTTTGGGAGAGGGGAGCAGTTGATGATCTTTCATGGATTCTTGGAGTTTGAGGAGAAGGCGGCGCTTTGAGACCAGCCGGACGGAATTTGGCATCGACGGTAGCTATATATACTCCCTAGCTCTTGTGCCTGTGGTCAAGGATCTCGGCGTCTCCATCACGCTCATCGACCAGGTCATGACGTCCTACTTGATGCCGGCATCGCCCCGTCCTTCATGGCAACACTTCATGCCGCAGACAGAATAGCAACTACAACGCCTATTTCTTTTTTTGGTTTTGCCTTGTACTGCGAGACGAGCAGCGCCGTGAGGTTTATATTTCTGTATAAAGAGCATACGCCACAGTACTTTTAGACCTGATCGCGTAGTCGTTAGATATTGTTATATAGAAAAGTACCAACGCTCAATACCTGGCATCCTAGGACAGATCTGGGCCTCCACACACACACACTCTCTCCCCCCCCCTTCTCTCTCTCTCTTTCTCACTCACTCACTCTCTCACACACACACTTCACACACACACACACACACACACACACACACACACACACACGTTTATGAGACAGACTCTGCGTGTGCATTGACTCCGAGCAAACGGCACCTGATCACCTATTTTGTCGGAGCTGAGCAACACAACCCAAAGTTAAGGGTAACTACGCTTACCCAGGAATATGGGTCAATGGGATCAATAGGAATCTGCATCGCACAGCTTCACTGACAGAGGGAACAGAAGAAAAGTAGAAATAAAGTGATATTGAAAAGAAAAGTAAAGGAATGGCTCTCAAGAAACAGCTTCCGGAATCGAGGGAAACGACTGATCGCTCACTGTCAAGTGCGTTCCCCTCCTAACAACACATTGAACTACCCGGCTTCTCCGTCCTCCTTTTTCCTTGGTTGTGGGAGCCCTTCTCCCCTTATATGCTTGTAAGTGAGGTCCGAATGTGTGGCTCGCAAGTTTCCCTCGTGGCTGCGGCTGGCCATTCCAGTGTGGCACTGCGGAATGCCAACCGCCCTATGCACCAACACATTATAATGTTCTTTGATCGCTGTCTGAATGTTGGCCTTCTCTCTCGAGGCCGGGAAACGCCCATCCCTTTCTAGGATTTCGCTCCATCTATAACAAAGAAATCCAAAACAGAAATATGCTACTGCCGTTTTGTAGTTAATTGAGCCTTCGCGTAAGTGATTGCCTCCGTCACTTTAACAATAAACTCCTCGACGCTATCGTATCCTCCACCATCTACCCCCTTCACCTCGGCAATATAAGTGAGGACAGCCTTGATACCGAGACCAATGACAAACTTGCCCTAGCGTCGACCCTGTTCACTGGATACTTCATCCTCAATTTGGCTGCAGATGTTCGAGGCAGCCAACTCTGTGTATCCCCCGGCGCTGGTAAGTATGGCCCTGTTTCCCTGCTATTTTTCACCAGTTACACCTTAATGTAACATATTGTAGTGATAAATTGGATGCGATACCGCGCGACCCATGCAACTGAGTGCAAGCCTTCCTTTTTTTCTAGCAGCGGTTGCTCTGTATACAACCCTGGGCCGACTGTTGCCTAATCGGCCTGATATACTATGCTGTTGTCAGGACACGACTGTTAACCGACGGTCAAGGAGTTCTGCCGGCACTTACTATTAAGGGTTACCCCTCATTTCCGCTACTAATTGAAAAGAATAAAAGGCTTCCTTGGCCGGATCTATCCGGATTCCCGTGGCGGATTTCCGTACCGTCTATCTTGAACACCGTCTGCGGCGGCGGCCCTGGAGCCCTGCTTGGCTTACTGGCGACCTCTGGCGGCCCTGTGCTGTGCCACCAGAAACATCTTTTCGAAGGTCAAAAGGTAGGATTGTATGGTGCCAAATGTTCAATGCATTGGCGGGCTATCGATGGTTAGAGGGCCGGGGATCGTCAGGACCGAGAGCCTCGTGTTTGCGGCCAGTGAACAGTTGTTGTTGTTCCAGGAAGAGAAACTATCCTAGAAAGGAAACATTGCCTGAAAAGGCCAGTGCCTCCGTTGACATTTGGTACAAAGGTAGAGCCAATGTGATTTGATGAAAGGGGATAATAGATGAAGAAGAAGAGGGAAATGGCCTAGGTGACGGTGATGGAACTCTTGTTAGAAATTAGGTCGAAGTCCTATGTCCCTCGAGGAATATCAAAGTTTACGAAGGGCGACTTGAGTAATCACTCATGTCTCGATTGGCAGGGGCATGCATGGGTAATGCTGTTGGAATATCTGATGTGGCATACACTTGCGGTGACAAGATTTAGAAACAGAACTGAGCTTAGGCCTGATCAGGTGTGCTCGGACAGCCTTGATGCTGAGACCGCCGACAAACTTACCCCAGCATCGATCCTTATCGCTGGATACTTGATCTTCAATCTGGCTGCAGATGTTCGAGGCAGCCAACTCTATATATTTTCCAGCTGTTGTAAGTACAGCCCTGTTTCCCTGCCATTTTTCACCAGTTATGCCTTGGTGTAATATGTTGTAGTGATAAATTGGATGCGATACTGCGCGACCTGCGCAACTGAGTGCAAGCCTTGCTAATGGGATTTGATGAAAGGGAATGGGCCGGATGGTAGATGAAGAAGAGAGAAATGACCTGGGGAGGTGGTAACGGAACTTTAAGATATGCTCTTATTGGAAATTGGGTTCAAGACGTGTGTTGTCCTCTGAGGAGAAAATACGGTATGTTGTTTTAGATGAGCAGAACTCCAGGAAAGCCGAGCTCTTCGGAGTTCATAACGTTGAAATTGGAAGGGCCGAAATGCCATTTCCGTTTCCATTTCCTTCCCCATTTCAGTTCCTATTTCCTTTTACAATATGAGGCGGGGGAGACCCGGAGGCGTATAGAAAAGAAGGAAAGGGGGGTTGAGGGCCCGATTTACACTAGTCAAGCTGCGCTTTCCCTTCATATTGTTCTTCAAGGTCTGTAAGCACGAATTCATTCCTCGGGAAAGCTTCGATAATCATTTGTCTTGCGATTGGCAGGAGGCATGGGTAATGCCACTTCTTCAGCTGCCCTCATCGTCCTGATGACCCCGATTTGGAAGGTATAGATGGAGCTATTAATGGATATTAAGGACCGCTGCTTCTGGGACAATATATATTAGTTTAGGCCACAAGGGAAGGAGGGATTATAGTGGGAATAAATTGATGAGCTGAATAAAAAAAAATCTATAACAATAGGCCCTCTCACCCCAGCAATCACTCCAGTTGTCCTTTCCGTTTCCGCCATTTTGCAGTCAGTTACGCCTTGGCGTAAACGATGGCCTCAGACACCTTCTGTATGAACCCCTCCACGCCGTCGTGCCCTTCGTCCTGCATCACCTTCGCCTCAGCCAGGTAGGTCAGCACGGGCTTGATGCCCAGTCCCACCGTAAACCTGCCCGTACGCTGCTCTTCGTCACTCGCAGCCTGGACCCGGATCTGCTCGCAGATGTACCTAACCGCTGACTCTGAGTATGCACCACTCTTCGTGAGCACTTCCGCGAGTTCCTCCAACGTCTTTAGGGGATTCACAACAACCTGCCGATTGAAGGAAGTATCCACCTGGAGGAGTTTGAGAACATGCATGTTCGACGAGGTTACAAATGTGAGCAGACGGTGCCCCTTAGGCGGTGGCGTCCGGATGAGAGTGATGAGAGCTTGGAGAATGGTGTTTGAGAAGCGAGACCCGATAGGCGAGTACTCGATAAGGCGCTCAAAATCGTCAAGGATGAGTAGACTATACAATTGTTTAGTCCATGAGCGGTTGTCACGAGCGGATGCTAGATAGGGGGGTTAAGTCCTGTACATACCTCATGGGTGACTTGTAAGCGTCGGTAAACACCTTGTGGATGTAGTCCTTCTTTGCAAAATCATCCCGGTAAGGCACCACATCCATGGGGGAGAGAACCTTGACAAACGGAAAGCCGGATTGCTTGGCGATAAAGGCGGCCAAGGCCGTCTTTCCTGACCCTAGAGGACCATGGAAAAGAACACTTAGGTGACGCAGAGAATCGGACAGCCGAACGGTACTGCAGTATTCCTGACCTTCCTGGAGAATCTTGTCAAAACTCGCCGGACTAAATTTGATAAGCCCCATCGGCAGCAGCAGGTCGAGAGAATCCTCAGCCACGCCATAGGCCGGAATAATCTCCACCAAGGCGCCCCTATAAGTAATCATCGATTAGTGTTAGAAACTTGAACCGTTAAGGGACACCCGAAGAAAGGTGAAGAGGGCGAGGTAAGAAGGTGGGGGGTGTACGTACATGAAGTCCTCACGCCCTACTTTCAAGTTCTCGGTGTCTTTCGCCACGACACCCCTCTCATTGGCCTCCATGTGCCGATTCAGCGCGAACGATGTGGCAGACCTCACAAGGCCAGCAATCTCAGCACCGCTAAAGTTCTTGGTGAGTTTCGCAATCTCCTCAACGTCAACGTCATCGGCGAGGACACCATTCTGTCTCATCTCGCTTGTGTGAATATTGAGAATCTGCACACGGCCGTGCTCGTCAGGAAGCGAAATCTCAAGCTGCAACTCTAGACGACCGGGACGAAGCAAAGCCTCGTCGATCATGTCTTTTCGGTTCGTCATTCCGATGAGCAGAATATTGTTGAGCTGGTCGACACCATCGAGCTTCGTGAGAAGCTGGTTGACAATAGAGTCACCCACACCGGTACCACCACCAACTCCGGATCCTCGCTGCTTACACACAGCGTCCAGCTCGTCGAAAATGATTATGTGAAGGTCGCTCTCATCACCGCGTTCCTTGTACTCTTTCTCTGCGTCGGCGAAGACCTTTCGGATGTTCTCCTCCGATTGACCGACGTACTTGTTGAGAACTTCGGGACCATTGATGACCTTTGGTTCCTTGGCGTTTAGGACTTTGCCAATCTGACGAGCGATCAGAGTCTTTCCGGTTCCGGGAGGGCCGTAAAGGAGTATACCCTTTACGTGCTGGATCTTAAGGCGCTCGATAAACTGCGGCGGGAACACACGCGATGCAAATGCTCTTCGGAAGAGGATGGCAAACTCATCGTCTAGACCACCAATACCTATGTCGGTGAAGCTGAAGTCGGATGTTATTATAGCCTTCCTTGTGCTGCCGGTTGCAGAGGACTTTAGCTTAAGACCAGTCCTCTGGTCCCTTCCGTCAGCCGTTAGTAGAATCTCCGTCTGCTGAACCAAAATGCCGCGGCTATTTGGATCGGTGAGAACAGCGCCAGAGCCACCATCTTGTTGACCCAAGGCGGTCAGTGTCACACTAGTAACAGTGAAGAGAAGTGGTATTCCGCGGTAATCCATGAGAATCTGTTGTCCCGGTTGCAACACTTGGTCCCTGAAAGTACTCAGGAAGACAGGATTGAGCTCGTCATCGCTATAAACGTCATCCGTTTTCTTACTGGGTGAAGCGAAGCTGACTTGGAGCTGGACGGCGCCGAGATAGGCGTTCTTCCCGTAGCGGAAGGGATCGTAGGGTTGGCCCACAAAGACGTCCCGCTGTGCTATCCTCGCCCATTGCCTCTGTTTCTCATTTAGGGCAATGTAGCCGGAAGGAAAGCCGGGGATCCCCCGTGCCGCGACGACGTACTCGCCGCCTTCTTGGGTCCGGATCAGTACGTGTGAGTTTCCCTCACCGAAATCGTTGGGGCTCACGGCACACCTTATAACCCTTGTTAGTAGGCGGACTTGTAGGAGCTTCTAAGGGGATTACTAACACGTTCTCATAGATGAGGCTGCTCTGAAGAATACGGTCCTGAACCTTGCCTACTTGGAGGTTGATGCCCCCTCGTTGGGGGCCTTGTTGGGAAGGAGGCGGGGGACCACGAGATGGCATGTAGCCCGGACTCCTGGGTCCTGGGGGCCCTCCGGGTGCTCCGGGACCTCTGGGACCTCCGAATCCTCCGGGGCCGTCGCGATAACCGCCTTTGTTATACATTGTGAATGGTGGCGGGTGTATGCTGATGGGTGGGTAGTTCGAGGAAGAGATGATTACGGGTGAAGAGGTAACACGATCGAGCTTATATAACCGTCGCTAAGGCCTCAAAGTATTTGTTTTTTTTTTATGAATGAGGGAAAGAGCCAGCTGTCCTCTATGAATAGGAAAGGAAGAAGCTACGATTGTATGGATGGAGAAGTTACGAACTGTATTGATGGAAGGCGGAAGTCACGGTCATTGGTGCCTGCCCAAACTTGCCCCTTAGCGGACTTTGTAACACATGAAATCCGCCGCAGTAGCTAAAGCGGGGCACTTTGACATTACGTGTACTCAGTACGCCCAAGCGCTCCTTCTTTCATTGTAAAGGATGTGTTTGAGTCGAAGTACCTTCGTACCTGCATCAGCCCAATAGGGTTCCTGGCTGGTCGATCGCAAGCCCGCTTGAGGAAGCCACGATCAAGTGTGGTGACTGACCTCTTTGCCTTTGTACCTCAGTAGTTGCCACTAAATACGACGTTGTCCCTTGGAAATCGGGTTGAAGCCAAAGGTGTTTCGTCACATCGAAGAAGTACTTCCTGAAAGCGGAAAGCGCGGGGCGGTTTGCGATTAGATACACCAGCTGCCACCAGCTATAGCCCTACCATTGTCACTTGCCATCATCTGTATCTTATTGTTTGAACGTTGTGCTACCTCTCAGCAGCTGCTTCACCGGGCTCACCGAAGGACGACAGTAAACTTTTTTGGAGAGACCGCTTCGACCCCACCAACCTCAACTTTCAGAGACACCACGGTTAGCAATACATTTGATCAATTGTCCTGATCAAGCTCCCTTGCCCTGCCAGCGGAGCCTCCCAAAGGAGGAAACCCCACAGGGAACATGCCATCGGTCCAAACGCTCCTTTTCTCCCCAGCGGAGCTCGCCTATCTTCACGCCTCCCTCTCCCTCCCGACCCCAATCCGCCCCGATGGCCGCAAGCCAACCCAGTTCCGCCCATTAACCGCCGAAACGGGCATTCTACCGGCCACCAACGGAAGCGCGAGGGTATGTTTTGCCGACGGCACCGAAGCGATCGTGGGCGTCAAGGCAGAGATTCAGAAGACCATCGACCCGCGAGCGACCAGCCTTCCTGTCTACACTGCGTCTAGGGGAGAGCAATCGAGGACGGAGGATGACGAGGGGCGAGCGCCGGAGCCGGCGGCGAGTAACGAGTGGCTTGAGATTACCGTAGAGATACCAGGATACAGGGATGATGACGCGACGACGGTGTTCTTAGCGTCGATGTTGAGCGAGGCCCTGGTCGCCGATGGAGAGTTTGCGAAGAAGCTTGTGATAAATCGGAGGTTTCACTGGAAACTCTACCTCGATGTTTGTTTTCCTTCCTTCTTTTTCGTATGACGCATCGTCGAGTTCCCGCTAACGAAATGGACAGATATTCCTCATCTCCCCTCCACTGTCATATCCTCTACCTCTCCTCTCCTTAACGACACATCTCGCCCTTCTCTCCACGAGGTTACCGAGACTCAAATCAGAAGGCGATGAGGACCCCATGTTCGACGACGATTGGGAGGCCGCCACGTATCTCTACCCACCGGTCTCGTCCGCTTCTAGTTCCAGACCACCAATCACACTTCTCGTCGTAGCTATAGGTGACAACATCTTCTTCGACCCATCAAGCGAGGAACTTGCTGTCGCCGAGGTCGCGCTAGCGATATCAGTCGCCGAGTGCCCCAATGTGTGCAAGGGCGCAGATGTAATGGAAATCGATTCTAGCCGCACTTTCAAGATGCTCTCTATGAGGTCGATTGACCCTCCCTCGCGGCTAACACCTCCTGGGATCCCTGATGTGGAGAACCCTACCACGGGTACCTCTGGAGCGGCGACGCCGAGCAAGAAGCCGCAGCAGAAGGCGCAGACCTCTAAAGGAGTGTGGAGGGCGCCTTTGGGAGGCGCGAAATTCGGCATGATACAGTTGATGATACAGCAGGTTATGGGGAAGGGTGGTGTTGCGAATGAGGTGTTGGATGGTGTTGCTGGTGTGGATTTGAGTTAGGGGTCTGGAAGGAGGGAATATTCGGCGTAAAAGTGAACTTGAAACCAAATAGATGAAAGGCTTGGGATGGGAATCGTCCATAAGCCTCAAAGTGTAACACCAAACTTATATTGTGCCATGTCTCTGTAGATCTCTAAATATTCCTCCGGGATATCTTCCAACATGTTCTACCTTTCGAGAACCAGCGAGCCCATTAACGTCCCCTCTCTCCTTTCCCAAATATCCTCAAGCCTTGGGTTCCGGCTTAGAAGCCAGATCGATAGCCACCTTCTCCATCCTCTCACTCACCAATTTCACCAACGACTCAACGCCCACCTCCCCCAATGCCTTCAAAATAAGTCCCTCTAACTCCTCGCTCATACCCTCCCTCTGATCAACATAAACATCCAACCCCTCCTCCGTAAACAACGTCTTCGCAAACCAAGTAACAGCCCACCTCTCCGTCTGCCCCGTCGCGGCATTCACCCTCTCCCCCCACCCGATCATCTCCCACGGACATGAAATCGGCTTCAGAAGCCCGCTCCCGCGCCAATTCCACACCGTCAAGTCATCCTTGCCAACCGCCGTATCAACGCCGGAGACGGTCTTGACCTTGGAAGAGCCTTTACTCTGGTAGGCGACGACGTCCGTGATGCGCGGGTTGCCGGCAGACGTGGGTGGGTGGGTGCCGTAGGTTATGGTGAGGTTTTGGGCTGTGCGCCAGCGCTTGAGAGTTGAGTGGGTGACGGTCCAGGTGCGGTGAAGCCATTCGACGGGAGGTGAGGTGGCGGAGGCGGCTGTTGTGGGTTTGTAGTGTCTTGGGGCGCGGATTTGGACGGCAACGGCTTGAGCTGTCTCAGTGAGGTCCGCGGAGCTTTGGGCCGGTTGTGTTTCGGCGGGTTGTTCGATAGTCATTGTGTTTTTGTGAATTGTACAATCTTTAGCTGTGATGAATATATATTTAAAATTATTACATGAGATGAAAACCGCGATGTTTGGGATATTTGATGTTTAAATGGGGCGAGTTGAGGTGTTGAAAGATGGGAGCTCGGGGGTTACGTCGATCGTTTCTACGAGTTTCAGAAGCTGTCAAGGCGTGAGAAGAAAGTCTGGGCACCACAGACCACAAGTCGCAGCTCGGGGGATCACGAATACGAAGGTATTGATGTATAAGGTTCTGGGAAGGAAAAAGTGGTATTGGGTATCTTAAATATGCTAGTTTAATAAATTCTAATCGCGCCGTCGCTCAGTCTGTCCACGCTCACCTCTGCGGACATCCCGATGACCACGATCTCGCCTTGGAGAGGAGCTTCTCCTTCGCCGTCGACTTTCGGCGTCGCGCTCTCTGCCAGGCTCGCTACTGCGCTCCCTCTTCCGATGGCGTTCTCTCGAACGATGCCTATCTTCACCGTGATGCCGATGTCTCCTCTCCTCTCGCCGCACGTGCCTCTCACGTCTACGTTGCTCCTTTTCAAGTTTCCTGAGCTCCTCCTCGCGTTCCAGCTGCGCACTCTCCCTTGCCCTCCTAACCTCTCGGACCTTTGCCGCGCCAGCTTTCATCATGGCGAGTGGGTCATTGGACACTAACCTCGCCGCCTCCCGCTGCTTCCGCAGAGGATCTTCGTTGCCCCAGACATCCTTTGATGGAGGCTCAACCTCAATTTTGGCATCCGTCGACGTATACCACGGATTCTTCCCTAGTTCATTCTTATTGCCAGCCGCATTCGAGATCCGCATCCTATATTGATCCTCGTACTCTCTCCGTAAATGCGCCGCCTCTTTCTCAGCCTCTGGGTTCTTCTCGGCGTGGCGGTAGGCCTTCTCGTCCCCAATTAAATCAATATGTCCATCCCGACCCACGAGCGGTGCAGAGCTCGACGTAGTTGTCTTCCGCAATCCTTCGTCCCTTGGTGCGCGCTCTCGTGCTACTCGGAGCTCGAAGTCCGTATCATCCTCTCCCGCGCGCTTCCTCTTCTTTCGTTCCTTGTAACCACCGTATCCAAGGCCGGCCTGCTCTGAGACCCTCGAAAGGCAGCCGTCGACTCCCGCACTCTCCGGTTCCTCGTAGGGTGGTGGAACTTCTCCACGTAGAATCGCTAACCGACGCTTAGCATCGTGGTCTTGCATGCGCTGTTCTTCGGCTTCCTCTTTGGCCTTGGCCTCGGCCTCGTCGCGCCGGACGCGGGCGATGTTGTCGGCATTGTAGACGTTCCATGATTTCTTTCCTAGGAGATGGCTGGATATGGTGTGAGTATTTGCAAAAAGTGTTGGGATACCGATATTCATACTTACAGAGGCATGGTGATTTATTCACTTTCCCATCCTTGAATGATCCAGTGGGTTGGTATGGGAAGGGACTGGTGCCAGTTACGATGACATCGACAGTACGGAGGTCCATAACGAATTTGTGGTCTCCGTTTGTTTGAGAGACGGAAAACTTCAAATGTACACAGTTCGCCACCATAATCGGCTAAACGCTAGGGCGAGGGCATGCCAATCTTCCCCCACTACACCACCATTAACAAAGTCCGTTTCGTTTGATTCGCCACCGTATGCGCTACTGAACGCTGGCTATCACCAAAAAATTATTTCCCACCGTCGAGTTCTCAAAGAAAGGCAAGTTTTGTCTGCAACCATTGACCATCACCCCGATCACCCACGGCTATGTCCAGGCCAAGCCTGCGCCAAGGTCTCGACCGCGACGTCTACCAACTCGTCCGGAAACTCGAGGACGAGTTAGAAGACCAAGAGTCCGCCGATTCACAAAACAAGAAGACCCCTCGCCTCACCGTAACCGCCGTTTATGAATACATCCGCAGGTCCAATTCAAGTCTCGGTCGACTAAAACGGAAGCCGCTGGAAGAGTCGATCGAGAGGGTCTTGAAGTTCCGGAAAAAGGACCTTGAGACCCAAGAATCGGAGGGCGACGAAGAGGTAGAAAGCACGAAAGATACCCCGGCGAAACCGGCGACGGACCCGAGCCTGTTGAATAGGCAGCTTGCGAGACGGTGGAAACTAGCCGAGAAGAGGGAAAAGGAGCTTGAGCGCGACGACAAAGCCGACGCTGGCGAGGGTGCAGATAAGATGAGTGGTCCCAAGAAACGAAGGCGCTCGAGATCGCCATCCGCTTCGGGCCAGGGCCGGATGACAGACGGGGATCAAAAATCTACAGATGCACAGTCGCGGTTAGTGGCGCCGAAGAAATGGAGGCCGAATAAGGGCTACGAGGTCTCGGACTTGGATAATCTTCCTGTACTAGGAGGAATTAGCGATGTCGTGGCAGACTTCGAGGAGCGCATTTGGCCGGAGATGGTACCCCGAGAGGGAGAGGATGAGAATGGCGTCGGGCGGAGCGCTGTGCGGTCACTGGTGCTGTCTGGGCCCCTGGGTTGTGGTAAATCATCTATCCTGGCGCACCTCGCCTCACGGTGGAAAGTACCACTTCTGAAGGTGGATTGCGAGCAGCTCGAAGGGTCCGAGAGGGCCGAAAGGAGCTTATCAGACGTCTACGACGAGGCAGTCGGCATGGCCCCCTGCATCGTTCAGCTCACCGAGATCGACACGTTATGGAAGTCGGAGGGAGTCAGTCAACTCCAACCAAGTACGGCAGGACATCAAGTCAAGCAATTGCTACTACGATTGGCGAGAGTCAGAAACACGGAACGGCCCATCGCCATCGCGGCGACGACGAACCATCCTGAAAAATTACCCCGAAAACTCTTTAAGGCGGGACTGTTCGAGGCAACCTACACCATGAAAGCGCCAAGCGAACATTCGCGCCGTGAAATCCTCGAGACATTAGGCCAAAGCCGCGGCTTCCCGCCCCTCGATTATACAGCAGCCGCGCGCCGCACCCACGGCTACGTAGGCGACGACCTCTACCAAATTGTCAACCAGAGCCAGCGCCGAGCGATGGTAGCCAGACGGCCCGTAACGTTAGAAGACCTCGAAGAAGCCGCGAAGCAACACACCCCCCACCTATACAAGGAAGGATTCAGCAAAATCCCCGACGTAACCCTCGACCAAGTCGGCGGTCTCCGCGGCGTCATCAGCCTCCTCGAGCTCAACATCATCAACCGCATCAAATACCCCAGCTTCTACAAACACGTCAACAAGCCCGCCGGCGTGCTCCTCTGGGGCCCGCCCGGTTGCGGCAAAACTTACGTCGCTCAAGCCATCGCCAACGCGGCGCAGGCGAGCTTCATTCTCGTCAACGGACCCGAGCTGCTGGATAAATACGTCGGCGAATCGGAGAGGAAAATCCGCGCTCTTTTTGAGCGTGCGAGGGGCTGCGCGCCGTGTCTTGTCTTCCTGGACGAGATCGACTCGTTGGTGCCCCGTCGAGAAAACACCTCCACCGAGGCGGGCACACGCGTCGTGAATACCTTCCTCACGGAGCTCGACGGCGCTAATGGTCGCGAGGGTGTTTACGTCGTGGCGGCGACGAACCGGCCCGACATGATTGACCCGGCCATGTTCCGCACTGGTCGCTTCAACCGCAAAGTCTACGTCGACATGCCCAACGAAGAGGAGCGCGTGGATATCCTCACCACCATCTTCCGGTCGCGGGGCATTCCAGGCGACATCTCCGTCGTGGAAGCTATCGCTCGGAACCCGAGGTGCGAAAACTTCAGCGGCGCGGATCTCTCTGAGCTTAGCGATCGGGCTGTGCTCGAGTATATTCAGAGAATGCTGCCCACCCACACGTCGTCGCAGACGAATGGCATGCAGATCGACGGGGTGGCGGAGCAGAACGCGGGACCTTCGAGGGCGGATTGGGAGGCGGCGATGAATGGGTTGAAGCCTTCTGTGAAGAATATTGAGATTTATCGGGAAATGGCGTTGGCTGATGAGCTGGATGATTAAAAGTTTTTGGCATTTTTGAATATATATATATATTATTCCCCTGTTCATTTGTCTCGGCATCATGAGGAAGGAAACCTTTAGACCTTTGAATCGATATGAATGGAAAGAAGACATGATTGCCACATGTGAATTCTTGGTTAACACTGTGTAGTTTTCATCTCAGCTCATTCTTAGCTCGTTTTGTAATCTGATAGAACAGAAACCGCCCCTTACCTTTTCTAGAACTATGTTTATGAGACATCATCAGATATATATAACCTGTCTAGTAGTACAGCATGCAAGGTATGTCTCGGTATTGTGAGATTAGATGGTGGGGAGATGTATTTACTAAATGGATGGCCTCACGTTGGCCGCCACTAGTATTCTAAAGCTCTATTGTACACATGAGGAAACTTTTTTTCGCCAAACATTGCTCTGATGCAGGTCGGATTCTAAGTTGGTGGTTGGGGTTGTTTTTCAAAAAATAAAGATACATTGGGTCGTTTAGCAGGCATCCTTGAGGAAGCTATAAGTTTTCTTCAGTTAGCAAAGCTGCTCTTCATCTTGAAGTGACGAGGCAAACCCCGGGGGGGGGTTGGAAATAAGACTTACGCAATGAGATCGTTCCTGTCCTTCTCCTTCTTGAGACCACCGAAGGCCATCTTGGTACCGGGGATGTACTTCTTGGGGTTCTCGAGGTACTCGAACTATAGCAAATTGGTCAGTAAGCATGCCTAGGGAGAGAGACGGCGGGAATAAGGTCTTGCGCGGGAGGCGAGCTTCCGCGTAAAGCTATGAAGGGATTTAAAAGTTGGACTTTACTCACCAGAGTCTTCTCGTCCCAGGTGATGCCCTTCTGCTTGTTGGCGTCGGTGTAGGCGTAGCCCTCGACGGCACCGGTCTTACGGCCGAAGAGGCCGTGGAGAGCGGGACCGATCTTGTTGCCGGCGCCGGCCTCGGTGGTGTGGCACTGCGCACAGCGGGTCTTGAAAAGGTTGGCACCCTTCTTAACGTCGCCTGGTAGGAAAGTCGAGTTAGTTTGAGGTCGTGGAGACGTATGCGTGTGTCTGTGTGTATGTATGTGTGTGATTGAGAGAGGGGGTCATTCTTCGAGCTCCCCATGTCATGATCCTTCCGCAGTCGAAGCATCGGAGGCAGATCCGGACGAGGGGGGTCGTGGCCGGAGGGTCTTAGAGCCTTCACATGCTCTGCCGCTCCGTGCTCCCAACTCTCTGCAGGATAGCTCCGGGGGAACAAAAGAGCACCGAGGCCTGTTCCAGGACAGTCGACGGGAAAACCATCGAAGGGAAACGGTTCGGGAAGCTCAGGCGCCCCCAATTGACAGCCGGAGTGGCCACTCCGAAGTGTTGGGGGAGTCTCGAGAACACGATCACAGGTGCGAGGGAATAAATGGTCTGAGGCCCGCGAGCTACTTACCACCAGCCATTGTGTCTGATTAAAGGGGGGGAGGAAGAAAATAGAAGTGTTAAAGGATCGTTGATTTGAAAGCGACGCTACAAAAGGTCGTCAGGTTCGAGTTATCGAGTTCGTGAAAGTTGAAGATGAAAGGCGAAGTTAAGTTCGAGGAATGAAAGGATGGGAAGGAGGAGGGAAAAAAAGGTTTGACAGGATTTGCGCAGGGAAAAATACCGGCTTTTAGTGGCGTAGCAAGAAATGCGTTAGCCGGGAGCTCGGATGATGACAGACCTCAGTCTTTCGAGGGTACCTGGGTACCTCGTAATGGGGATTTAGCTCATCGGGGAACACAGTGGGGGCTTCGTGCAGCCAATCGGGGTTTGCGAATTGCCAACACATGCTAGTTCAGACAAGAAGCCGGGAAAAACTCGGCGTGTATCTGGGTCACAAGGCGCTATTCTGGAGATTCTCCGGGAATTCCCGTGGATTAGTCATCGCTAGCTGTCTGGGGCGGCTTTGATTGACCTGGTCATCACAATCGCATGCTGTGAAAATCGATCTCACCAACTGGCACCAAGTGGGTCTCCGCGGAATAGCGTTTTGCAGGCTTTTTTTTTGCTCTGGATGGTCTGAGCAGAGCCGCTCTTTTTTTTTCGGATGCGGGCAGGCCAGTACAACCCGTGACTACTGTCCATTGCATTGTGCTCGGTTTAGTACGACACCCCATCCTAGCCTCCCTAAGACGGCACAGGAAAGCGCGGCTGGCAAGTCCCAAGGCGAGGATTGACCTTCACGGGTGGCTTTTTAACACCCAGAGCGGCACACGATGGCTCCCCCAAGCAGCCTCATCCTCTCGACGCGGAGCGCCTCAGCAGCGCTCCGACATCCGGTGATCCGAAACTTTTCAACCACCAGACTCCTCGCGGCGAAGAAGCCGGCGGCGCCGCATAAGCCCCTCGTGCTAGAGAAGCCTCTGAAGTTCAACCCCCCCTCCCATGGATCGCGGTTACCAAAGAAGCGCATACCTCAGCACTATGGCGGCCAGCTGTCCCAGGAGGAGATTAAGGCTCAGGACCGGCGGGACTATCCCACGATGATGCCGCCGCAAGGGACGTGGGCGCATTGGTTCTGGACGAATCGGACGATTCACGTTGTTATCACGGCGGTATGATTCTTCGGGAGCCTGTGCCCGGAGAGGGGAATCTTCCCCTCGCTGGGGCAGGCAGATATATCCGAAAATGAGGCCGCATATGTACTAACGTATTGGGATTGGTAGGGCACACTCCTGGTACTCGGAATATCAACCTACTTCATGAATTTCGCGCACACCTCGCCCTTCGCGCACCTTCTCCCTCCCATATCCGAATTCTCCGAGCACCCGATCGACTTTATCCAGACGTACTTGGCCGTGATGAAGATGCATAGCCAACACAACAGCCAATTGGCGTTCGAGAGTCGGTCGAAGAAGATGGACGATGTGCTCAAGAGGCAGGCTTTCCAGATGGCGCATAAGACGGAGAAGGGCCCAATTGAGAAGTACTTTGGCCTGGGCAGGAAGGAGCCCGAGGTGGAGGAGACCCCGGCCGGGGAGAAGCCGGAGGCTGTTGAGGAGGAGAAGCCTAAGAAGAGATTTGGGATCTTCTAAGGGGATTACGACATGGCACTCTAGATGTGGCTACAGAATATTCAGAGGTAGATGTCCTCGTCCTACTTCCAGAGATACTGGCAAGTTGTAAATATCATTGTATCAAAAGCACCAATACAGTAATATCTCCACACGATCTTGACCAAGAAACCCGAACCCTACGTAGTTAGTAATTATGAGAAGATGGATAGAAAATATAAATCCCATTATGGCGGATAAAAGCGCATAACCTGTTTCTGGCGATCTTGGAAGAACTGACGTTGAGCGATATCGGCTTATCGATAAGCTGCTCGAGACGCATTCATGAATTGATTGATTGATTACGCTGATTTGTGCTGCCAAATGACGACAGAACCACTGTAAAGGGACACTATCAATCCCACCCCACCACCACCACATCACCAGTCACACCTCGACTTAACTCTACCGCTTCGTGTTTGCCTACCAGAACCTCTCTTACCCGCTGTCACTACCACAACCTCCTCCAGACTCATACTTACGCGATCTGCTCGTTTCCGTAGTTGCTTGCAGTTGTCAACTTCAACTACGCATTTCTAAAGATGGGGGCCAACTCCAGCAAAGTAACGGCTCAAGACAAGTACGCCAGAGCCTCCCATCCACCCTCTCTCCTCTCTCCTCACACAACTCCCTCTCCATACGAACGCTGACTTACCCCCTCGTCACACTTCCCAGAGCCATACTAGACATGAAAATCCAACGTGATAAGCTCCACCAATACCAACGCCGCATAACCATCCTCACCGACAAAGAAACCGCCATCGCCAAAGAGATGCTCTCCCGCGGCGACAAGAACCGCGCGCTCCTCGCCCTCCGCCGGAAAAAATACCAAGAGGGCCTGCTGGCCAAGACGGACGCCCAGCTCGAGCAGCTCGAGAAGTTGACGTCGAGCGTCGAGTTCGCGCTCATACAGAAGGACGTCGTGTTTGGGTTGGAGCAGGGGACGAAGGTGTTGACGGAGATTCATGCGGAGATGGGGGGGATTGAACATGTGGAGAAGTTGATGGGGGAGACGGCGGATGCTATTGCGTATCAGCAGGTATGTTGGGGGATGCTGTGGATCCTACGAGGGCCGTCCTTTCTTTCTTAGTTTTCGGGGACTAATGAACGGTGTGTCTACAGGAGGTGAGTGACATGCTTGGTGGTAAGATTACGGCCCAGGATGAGGAGGAGGTGGAAGATGAGTTGGCGGCGCTGGAGGCCGAGGTCGCAGGGAAAACGGCGGTGTTGCCCAACGTGCCGGATTCGAGACTTCCTGTCCACGAGAGACCCGAGGGTGTCTCGGAGGCGGAACCGGCGAAACAGCCCGAGCGGACAGCGATGCTGGCATCTTGATCCGCGTTTGCTAATGAATCGTTTCTTTTAACTTGCTTATAAATGCCGGAGTTTTCGTTCGGTTACGGAGTTGTTCATTGAGCGGGCGGATTTATGAAAGAAGACCTAGAATGGTGGCATTTCTCCTTTTTTGCATCAAAGGGTCCGGAGCATATCGTCTTTTTCTCGGAAACGATGGGGAGTACGCAATGATGTTTACGAAGAATCTTATCATTTTCATATCTAAGGCGGGGTGTTGTTTCTTTTTCAACCCAGCAGGGAAGACTCATTACACATTCCCCTTTCCTTTTTACCCACCCTCCATTTCATATCGTTCTCGGCCAGTTTATGTTCGATAGATATGAGGAACCCTCCTCTAGACCATTAAATCTCATAAGTTGCCATACTTCGAAAGCAGCTTCTGCATGATAGACATCGCCGACCCACGATACCCTCCACCAAAGAGGGCGGTATGATTCAAATGATGATACCTAAATCTCATCGTCAGCTCCCCGGCATTCAAACAAAAAGAAAGGGACCAGCAACTCACAGTTCATACAGCAACAGCCTATCCTCCCACTCCTCAACCGGCTCACCTTTCGGCACCAACCTCTCGTATTCCTTCCAAAACCCGGATCCAAACCCCCCAAACATCTTCACGATCCCCAACTCATACTCCGAATGCCCATACACGCACGACGGATCATAAACCACCTCCTCCACCCCTCCCTTCCCCCCAATCCGTCCCCTCGCATGATTCCCAGACCATAGATCCCCATGAACAACAACGGGCACCACGCCCTTGAGCCGGTCCTCCCCCAGGAGCATAGGCACGACGTTCTCGATGGTATTATTCACGACATCCTCTAGAGCCCCGTCACTCTCGCCCTTGCGCTTACACTCAAGCAAGATAGCCCGGAGCCTATTCTCCCCGAAGAAGGCCGCCCAGGAATCCTGCCAGCTGTTTTCTTGGACCGTCGCGCCGCAGCACGTGGGCACGGGGAAGCCGAAGGCGGGTGTTGTGTGTCCTGTGGGGATGGGCGCGGGTGTTGTGTGGAGCTTTGCGAGCTTCTGGGCTAGGGATTGGCCAGAACCGGCGCCGGAGGAATGGGAGAAGTCAAGGAATTCGGTGGCGAGGAAGAACTGGTTGGGGATGGAGAGAGGCCCGTGGGCGAGGGATTTGGGGCAGAGGCTGGGGACGACGGAGTTTATTGCGTTGAGGGAGGCGTGTTCGCCTGGAAGTTGTAAGTCAGTCTATCTCAGGAGCCGTTCGTTCTCACACAGAGAAGAAGAGATGCCATCAATTGCTTCGGACTAAGTCAAAAGAGGCCCATGTAATAAGGTAAAATACCTCTGAACATTACTTCTGAATCACTACCGCTTCCCGTCTTCACGAAATAATCCACTTCCTCTCCGTTGACAGTGGCCGTCAGCCGAAATGTGGATGCGAAGCCAGAACCTCCGTGCGGTGATATCTTCGTCGTCGCGGCATCGAGACCGAGCGCCTTGATGAGCGCTGGGTCTACGGTCGGCGCCATTCCTATAAGTTACCTCGTCTCGATCGGATATCGGTATAAGTCTGCAACGGTAGTGGTATAAAGCTTAATTCTACCTGCTCTGTCCTTGAGCCCAGTCTGGATAATAAGACGAGAGGACGAAAGGACGAGAAGATGGAAGGATGAAGAGAGGATGAGGGGTTGATAACAATAAGCCTGCGCCTGCACGAATCATTACATCATCCGATATCATCCATTGTTTCCTGATCTTCGCCATCTGAATGATTCCACTTGGATGTGTTTGTGCATCATGTGCTTCCACTTCTTTCATTTTAGCAATAGTCGCAATGGGAGCATGGTTCGCCATTGATATCTATCCCATAACTAGGAGTTACATTTCAAATTATAGAATCCAATCCAACCCCAGCTTTCCAAAGAATAGATCAAACCTATAATAACAAGTCCGGAAAAGCAAGGGCTAACACCGAAATGCCAACAGACAAAATGCTGTCAGAATCCCCCCTCCGAAGACATCAATGATACAGCATGTTCGAGACATGATGGAGAAGGAAAAGAAGAAACACATAAAACACGCGAATAGAGGATGCAAAACAGATCGAATCAACCCGCTGAAAAAATTCGTAGAAAAAAAAAAAAAAAACCCATCTAACATGGAGGGGGAATAAAGCACAACTATTCTATGCCATGCTGCCATACTTTCTAAAAATGCTTCGATGAAAAAAAACGAGACGCCCTTCGTGATACAACTTTTAGAAGCTCCATGAACCTCCTTTTTAATTGCAACATCAAAACATGCTTCTCATGTCATCAAATCATGCCTTCTCCATGGCCTCGAAAACCTCCTGTGCGGTGGTCCGAACAATACCGCCAGTTACAGGCAGTTCAGTACAGTTCTCGAGGTAGAGATCGACCTCGCGAGCGGCCTGGCGACCCTCGTTGATACCCCTATTATATCGTTAGTATATTTTGCCGTGAAAGGTAGAGAGGCGGGGGGCCTGTAGTAGGAACTAATTAAACTTACCAAACGATGAGGGACTGGCCGCGGCGGCAGTCACCAGCAGCGAAAACGCCCTCCACATTGGTGCAGTACTTGCCGGCAGGTGTCTTAACGTTCTTCCTAGCATCCTTCTCAATCATGTCGCCGAGGACGCGATCTTCGGGGCCGAGGAAACCCATAGACAAGAGAACAAGGTCGGCGGGGAAGAACTCTCGGGAGTCCTCAAGCTTCTTCATGTCCCAGCCGCCATTGGAAGAGCGGGTCCACTCCACGCGAACGGTGTTGATACCCTTCAGCTTGCCCGTACCGTCATCGACAAACTCCTCCGACATGATGCAATACTCACGAGGGTCCTTGCCTGTGTGCTGCTTAACTTCATTGTGGCCGTAGTCGACCCGGTAGATGCGAGGCCACTGGGGCCAAGGGTTATCACTAGCACGCTCGGGGGGAGGCTGTGGCAGAAGCTCAAAGTTGACAACAGACTTGGCGCCGTGCCGGAGGGAGGTACCGATACAGTCATTGCCTGTGTCACCACCGCCAATAACGATGACGTTCTTGCCCTTGGCCGAGATGTAAGCACCGTCGGCGAGCTCAGAGTCGAGAAGAGATTTGGTGTTGGCGTGAAGGAACTCCATAGCGAAGTGGATACCCTCGAGATTGCGTCCCTTGGCCGGCAGGTCTCGGGCGACAGTCGAACCGGTGCAGATGACTACGGCGTCGTTCTCAGCCTTGAGGTCGGTTAAGGCGATCTCCTGGCCGATGGCCACGCCAGTCTTGAAAACGACTCCCTCAGCAGCCATAAAGTCTGTTCGCCGCTTGACAATTCGCTTGTCGAGCTTCATGTTGGGAATACCGTACATCAAGAGGCCACCGGGACGGTCAGACCTTTCATACACGGTGACACTATGACCGGCCCTATTGAGCTGGTCTGCGCAAGCCAAACCAGAGGGACCGGAACCAATAATGGCAACCTTCTTTCCAGTGCGGACCTCGGGAGGCCTAGGAACCATCCAACCCATCTCAAAACCGCGATCGATGATGGCGCACTCAATGGACTTGATACCAACAGGGTCCTCGTTGATTCCGAGAACGCAGGCACCCTCGCAAGGGGCGGGGCACACGCGACCTGTGAACTCGGGGAAGTTGTTGGTCATCAAGAGTCTGTCGAGGGCATCACGCCATCGATTTCGAAATACCAAATCGTTCCATTTGGGAATAATATTGGAAATAGGACAACCGGTTTCTGACTGGCAGAAAGGAACACCACAATCCATGCAGCGGGCCGATTGATATTTAAGCTCATCCTCGTCCAGGCGCTGGCTGAGTTCCTGCCAATCCTTGATACGAGTCTTAGCCGAGCGGTACTTCTCCGTGCGGCGGTGATACTTCATGAAGCCTTTGGTCTTGTCAAGGACGAGGGCCTTCTTCTTCTTCTTCTCCTCCGCAGCACCATCGGCAATCATTTCCTCCATATCCTGAAGCTTGGGACCGTTGCTGTTGGCTACCTTGGGTTGGGGAGAAGGCGTCGGGATCGGGACGATGAAATTGGTAACGCCGTTGGACTCAGCTGCCTTCTTGGCAGCTTCCTCTGCAAGAACCCTCTTGTAATCAACAGGAAGCACCTTCACGAAGCGGGAGAGAGCCCTAGAGAAGTTCATCAAGATACGTGCAGCAAGCTCGGATCCAGTGTAATGGTGGTGATCCTCGATAAGGCCACGAAGGTATGCAACCTCAGAAGGGTCTTCGACCGGGCCAGTCTCGACCATCTCGGAGTTCAACTTGGAGAGGAAATCGTGGTGCTTGTCGAGAACGTAGGCAATACCGCCTGACATACCCGCGGCGAAGTTGCGGCCAGTGCTGCCGAGAATAACAACCCTACCACCAGTCATGTACTCACAACCGTGATCGCCGACACCCTCAACGACAGCAGTGGCACCCGAGTTTCGGACGGCGAAGCGCTCGGCGGCGATACCACGGAAGAAGCAAGTACCGCTCGTAGCTCCGTAGAGACAAACATTACCGATGAGGACGTTCTCCTCGGCCTTGAAGACGGCGGAGCGTGGAGGGTAGATGATTAGGCGACCTCCAGAGAGACCCTTACCGACGTAATCGTTGGCATCACCCTCAAGCTCCAACGTGACGCCAGGGGCGAGGAAAGCACCGAAAGATTGGCCAGAGGAGCCCTTGATATTAACATGGACTGTGTCTACAGGCAATCCCACTTCGCCGAAGCGCTTGGAGATGTGGTACGAGAGAGAGGTACCCAACGCTCGGTCAGTGTTGACAACCTCGCACTCAATCCTCGACGGCAGGCCCTTTTCGAGCGTCGTTTCGGATTCGGAAATGAGCTTGTTGTCCAAACGGACGTAGAGCTTGTGATCTTGCTTGCGGACGTTGAAGGTAGCTACGCCAGGACGGAGCTTATGGGCGGGGGTGAGAAGCAAGCTCAAGTCAATGTTGGCGGTTTTGTTAGTTCGCAGATCGTCGCGGACGGTAAGCATCTCGGCACGACCGACCATCTCATTAACGGTGCGGAATCCGAGCTTGGCCATGATGGCTCGCATCTCGTTCGCGACGTAGTAGAAGAAGTTAATAACATGCTCCGGACTACCCGCAAACTTCTTCCTGAGTTCGGGATCCTGAGTGGCGATACCAACTGGGCAAGTATTCAAATGACACTTCCTCATGAAGATACAGCCCATGGCGATCAAAGGAGCAGTGGCAAAGCCCCACTCCTCAGCTCCAAGGAGACAGGCGATGGCGACATCACGACCGGTACGGAGCTGACCGTCAGTCTGGACAACGACGCGGCCACGCAGATCGTTAAGGACAAGTGTCTGATGAGTCTCTGCGAGGCCAAGCTCCCATGGGAGACCGGCATATTTGATACCAGTCCAGCGCGAAGCACCAGTACCGCCGTCGTGACCAGCAATAAGGATGTGGTCAGCCTTCGCCTTGGCGACACCAGAAGCGATAATGCCAACGCCGACTTCCGATACAAGCTTGACAGACACACGCGACCTAGGGTTGGAGCACTTCAAGTCGTAGATCAACTGCTTCAAATCTTCAATGGAGTAGATGTCATGGTGAGGAGGCGGTGAAATAAGACCGACACCGGGAGTGGAATGACGGGTGCGAGCAATGGAGGTGGAAACCTTGTGGCCGGGTAGCTCACCACCTTCGCCGGGCTTAGCCCCCTGGGCCATCTTAATCTGAATCTCGTCAGAGTCCGCAAGATACGCGGAAGTAACACCGAAACGACCAGATGCAACCTGCTTGATGGCGGATCTCATGGTGTCGCCGTTGGGGAAGCGCTGTGAGCGCTCAGGATCCTCACCACCTTCGCCAGTGTTGGATTTACCCCCGAGTCTGTTCATGGCAATGGCGAGAGTAGAGTGAGACTCCATGGAGATGGAGCCATAGGACATGGCGCCTGTGCAGAATCGACGTACAATCTCGGTCCAAGGCTCAACTTGGTCAATATGGATAGGTTCGGCATCTTCAAAGTTGAAGTCAAGTAGGCCACGGAGGGTGCACGACTTGATCTGCTCATATTCCCGGCGAGAGTAGGCCTCGTAGGACTTGTCATTCTTCGTGCGAACGGCATCCTGGAGGTTGGCGATGGCAGTGGGGTCGTTGATGTGGGGCTCACCACCGTCTCGCCAGTGATACTCACCCGACTCGGGAAGAGATTCGATGCCCACAGTGTACCTCGAGGGGAAACCCCGCTCATGGAACCTGAAGCCATCCTGGGCAATGATTTCGAAAGTAGCACCCTGGATACGAGAAGGTGTCCCGTAGAAGCACTTCTCAACGACTGCCTCATCAAGACCGAGAGCCTCGAAGATCTGGGCACCCTTGTAGCTGGCCAAGGTAGAGATACCCATCTTGCTCATGACCTTGAGAATTCCACCGTCACAGGAATGCTTGTAGTTCCGGATAAGCTCATCATCAGTGAGCTTCTTCTTAATTAAGCCTTCGCGGTTGAGCTTGAGGATGCACTCCATGGCGAGATAAGGGTTGATGGCATCAGCACCATAACCGAGGAGCACACACATGTGGTGGACTTCCCGAGCCTCGGCGGTCTCGACAACAATAGCGGCCATGGATCGCCATTTGTTGGAAACCAAATGATGGTGGACCATACCAGAGGCCAGGAGAGCAGAAACAGCAACACGGTCGGCACCTGTGTTCCGGTCAGACAAAACGATGATCCTGTCCTTGGCTTCTATTGCCGACATAGCCTCGCTACAGATAAAATCGAGGTGTTTCAGATAGCCGTCGACGCCGTCCTTCTTCGGGAAGGTCAGGTCAATAGTCTTGACAGTCCATTTGGGATACTTTATATGCATGTGCATTAAAGAGTTGAACTCGGGAATGGAGAGGATAGGGCTAGGTAGGAGGAGACGGTCACATTGAGAGCTGTCCATTTCCAGAAGGTTGCCCTGCGGACCCACATAGCAATCGAGAGACATGACGATAGACTCTCGAATAGGGTCGATAGGGGGGTTGGTGACCTGGGCGAAGAGCTGGCGGAAGTATTCGTAAGGTAGTCGAGGAGCCTGCGCTAAGCATGCGAGAGGAGCATCGTTACCCATTGAACCCAGTGCTTCTTTCTCGTCTGAGGCCATGGGCGCCAAGAGCAAGCTGACTTGCTCATGGGTGTAACCGAAGGCATGCAATAGAGGATCCTGCTGGAGGGGAGCGGAGTCGGGCTTAGGAGAAAGGTCCTTCTTGGCCGAGATGGTCTCGTACACCTCGGGTAGAGTAATTAGCTCTCTCTCAACCCAGGACCGGAAGTCAAAGCGGTTCGCAACATTGGTCTTCAGCTCGGTGTCATCAATGATACGGCCAGCTTGTGTGTCGACGAGCAACATACGACCAGGCTGGAGACGACCCTTCTTGATAACGCGCTCAGGGTCGACGTAGAGAGTTCCCACTTCGGAAGCACAGATTATACGGTCATCATCCATGACGTAGAAACGGCAAGGCCGAAGGCCATTTCGGTCAAGATTGGCACCACAATAACGACCATCGGCGAAGGTGAAAAGGGCGGGGCCATCCCAGGGCTCCATCTGACAGGCGGCCCATTCATAGAATGCAGCCTTTTTAGGGTCCATGCTAGAGTTCCCTTGCCAGGCTTCAGGAACCATAAGCATAACCGCTTCGGGTAAGGAGAGGACGCCGTTGATAGTCAACAACTCGAGCACATTATCAAAGGCGGCAGAGTCGGAACCGCCCTCCTCCACAATGGGATAGAGCGCCTCAAGTTCGGTGCCAAATTTGTCGGAACGCATGACACCCTCTCGAGCCTTCATCCAGTTCTTATTACCACGGAGAGTGTTGATTTCACCATTGTGGGCAGCCCACCGGAGGGGTTGAGCACGATCCCAAGAGGGGAAGGTGTTTGTAGAAAACCGAGAATGGACAAGGGCGAAGTGTGCCTCATAGTCCGCGTTGACGAGATCATGGTAGTACTGGTAGACCTGCACGGGGGCAAGTTGGCCCTTGTAAACAATATTCTTGTTCGACAAGGAGCAGAGGTAAAACCAGTTATGCAGCCCAAGAGTGTGAGTAGCTCTCTTCCTCAGGACGTAGAGCTGCCTCTCGAAAAGACGCTCATCGAATTTCTCGGGGTCAGTCTGCTCAGGAGCATTTCCAGTTCCATAAGCGGATGCCAACACGACGAAGGGCTGCATTATAACGGGTTCTCGAGACTTGGCGGCAGGACCTAGAAGAGTGGAATCGACTGGGGGGCGGCGCCAGCCCAGCACTCGGAGGCCCAGAGACTCGGCAATCTCCTCAAACTCGCGGATGGACCGTTGGAGAGTCTCATCGTGAGGCTTGAAGAAGAGGTTGCCGACAGCATATTGGCCAGGGGCGGGTAGCTTTATATGTTCCTCTCGCTCAAAATTCTTGATAAAAAACTTATGAGGGATAGAAGTCATTACGCCAGCACCATCGCCATCTCGAGCATCGGAACCAGTCGCCCCACGATGGGTCATGTTGCACAGCAGGTTTCGAGCTGTGGGTGGACCTGTCAGTTTGCGGAATTCTAAATATTGAAATCATGACAAAGAACTCACCATCGCTCACAATCTTGTGGCTGGCCTTGCCCTTGATATGACTGAAGAATTGACAAGTTAGAGGCCCGTTCCAGTTTTGTATACACATCCATAGAAAGCAACTAAACACTCAACATACCAGGCAAAACCAACACCACAGGCATCCTTTTCCAAGCTAGGATCATACAAACCCCTGAAGAAATGGTTAGTACCATACATAGCCCAACCAGCAATGGGGCTTCAAGACTTACTGCTTCACCGGGAGGGTGCCAGCCCAAGAAGAATTATTCTCATCTTGGTATTGGTAGGGATGATACTCCTCTTGTAGGGCGTCAATGTGGGTTTGTCGATCATCAAAATCAGTAGGAATGCCCATGCTAGGCATCTCTCCCTCCTAGGGCGTGGGGTGGGACGAGGAGATTTTGAGAGGGGATATCGGTCTTGACGTCGAGGCAAGGAATGGGCAGCTACAGTAGCAGACGCCACCCTCGAAATGACTCTGGAGGAGAAAAAGTTAGTTGAGTAAACGAGAGGTTGATATTGAGTGTCAGGTATTAGGAATGCCGAACTTCGTGGGAAAGATAGTTAAGATGGGAAAAAACTTGTGGAGGTTTTTGTGAGGGAGAGAGATGTTAAAGAAAGAGGAAACAAGAGGGCAGATATAATCGTGTTGGGCATGTGATGTAAAGCATTTTCTTAAGCTTAAAGAGAGGGAAGGAGCAGAAGCCAAACAATGAAGGTATGCAAAGATGCGCCTCTTTGACACATCAAAACAGAGCTTCATGCTCCAGTTGTCCAACTAGGGAAGGTCCAAGCTGCCATGACTGGGCTAGATCATGTAAGTGATCCTTTCCCTCCCCCAGCAGCACTTCATGAATGGCACAGCACCGAAGCACAGAAAATAAACTGTTGCAGCAGCTGATCACTCCTCCGCACTTTCTAGCCTCAATTCAGACAAAGGGCGTTTCAATTCAAGGCAAGAACTATAAGCAGCGAGGAAGAAAAACGTAATAAAGCGACCCTGCACTCGCAGACGTTGCGCTGCACCATTAAACGAGCGAGGTTAGGTTAAACATGCATGGTGACAGGTCCCCACTTGTCTCGACTGGGTGGGATTTGCAGTCCAGGTGACGAAAAGTTGTGCGAGTTTCGGAGACGGTGTTGCCGGAGTCGGGGGTAAAAGCGCGCCGGCACAAGAGGCGCCCCTAGCCGGGCGGCGGCCCATGGCTATCCGAGCAAAGCGGAAAAAGGCGGCGTGGGCCGGAGACCTGGGCACAGGCACTTATACCATCTCAATGGCTCGACGGGACATGTAACATGGCACAGAAAATCCACACCAAGACGGGAAGCATAGGTGCGTCACTGGACGTATAGAAAGACGGAAGCAGCGTGTCACGGAGTCGTGGGAGTTGAAACGATTCGATCTAAACTGTCGATCGGAACCCAAAGCTCGAATACGGCGAAGCGCCTACATTGGGATATGGGAGATGTTGCGACCAGACGATGGTGTATTGGATGAGGAGAAAAGGTGGGTATAACTTTGTAGCTCTCTGCTGGCAGTGGGAGATTAAGTGCGAGGAGGGACATCTAAACTTACTCTCAAAACTTGCTAGGTTATAAGAGGGGGGGAAGGTTTAAACTGGCTGTTCGATTGCTGAGGCCTTCCTGGGCGAGGTAAGTAGCTGTTCAAGAGCGATTCTTTTCGCTGGATGGTCGTGATCCTGGTGGGGAGATGGTAATGAGCGGGCAGAAGGAAGGAAAGAAAAGTCAAGACGAGCTTTGAACGAGTGGAGGGGCTCAGAAACCTTTTATTATGGTGTCCTCCAGGAAGACAACACAACGCCATTGCCATGCCATCGACCCAAGGTGGATGGTGGGGGGTGGGGATATTGGATCTCGTGTGGGAAACCCCATCGACGAGCGATAGCTCCTGCAGTGATCATTGTCTACACTAGAGAAAGAATGTACTCTTGGATGACCACGGGCCTAGACAGGTATCGATACATGTTGGAGGGCAAGGCAAGAATCTGGCGCGATGGGTTAAACGGGTTAGATCGAGGCAGCGGAAGGTAGTGTAGCAAGAGTCAGAAGCAAGAAGTGGACAGGTGGGATAGGCTGATTGTGTTGGATAGTAGAATAGGCCGGGCTGGCTGGCGGCGAGTTTGTTCTCCGTACGGCCCCGATTTGGTGGGACGACCCAGAAAAGGCTTATCACAATGCGGCGGCCTAGTGTTACATGCGTGCCGAGGCTTTGTGGGGGTGCACAGATAAATAATTTAACATCAAAGACGGGCATGCGAACTTGAGCAACTGCTGGAGCAATTGGCTGTGGCGAATCGAATATCGCTCTCCTTCGACGTCACCTCTCTGTGAAAGGAACTAAACTAAACGAATCTAGCATGGAACGCCCCGGACAGCGGCGGGCCAATCATTTAAAGCATATTACCCACCCATTATTGCATACGCCAAGAGGACCCACTTGGCTGTCTGATGAAACGGATAGATCAATAATTCAACTTGATAATCCTTACCACTCGCAAAAAAAAAGACACCACAGCCCTGTTTAAGTGACCACGTTGAAGCAGTGCTAGGCTGTGGCATTCCCTCTCAATTTAATGAGGGTTGTGTGGTCATTCTCAATGAGGACGAGGAGAGTGCAGACCGACATGTGGTTTTTCGGAAAAATCGCCTGGTGGACCATGTGAGTAATTACGAATCAACTCATGATGAGTTGGAGTAAGAAACAAAGTATTAACAGATGGAAACGTGCTGGATCAATGCATCAATCAAATTGGTTTACGTTTTCTATTTCCAGGGGCAGGTTTCCTACCCTTGGTCCAGCGATGAATTGGCAAACCCAGCTCAAAATGAGAAGAATAGTGAAGAAAGCTATGATCCATCCCCTGATCCATTGACTAAAAGACGACATCATAATACTACACGGCACGGGTCACATGGAGAGAGACAAAATTCTTAAGATTAACTGCACAGGCGAACCAGGAGTTAGTTTACCTTCCCCTTAAGTCTAGTGCTCCCCGGCCCCTTGATCATTCTTCGATGCTCTGTTCCTGGGTGAAGATGTCAGAGATGAGCCAACACGTAATAATAACCCGAGCTCCCCGGGCTTTTACTCATACTTTGGAGGTTCACCGAGAGAATCTGCCTGCTGGACCTGGGCCTCATTTGGCGTAACCAATCAGCAGACTGTCTTCTAACCAGATGAACATCCTCCGATGTCGTTCTCGTTTCACTTACACCTCATCACACTGTCGGCAGCATGTTCAAGGATTGGCATCAGCGCAGGCGGCGGTGAGCGTCTGCGACCAGTAGGTTATTTCTCATTACAACACGGATTTGACTAATAGCCAGGTCATCGCATTCGGTCTTTCTCTCCTTGCTTTGCTACTCCGCTGAGCGCGGTGTCGGGGAAAGCCCTTGAGAACTTGGCCGAGAAACCATCGGTGAGGATTTAGGAGTGCCGGTCTCGCCATGATTCGGGACTTTTCTCCCTCGGTATATCTATGATTTGCAGAGCGTACTGCGCCTAACCCATAGGAAACAAGTCTCCTGTATCCGGGCTTGTACAATGCCCTTTTTTTTTTTTCCTTTTTTTTCTCTTTTTCTTTTTTCCTTCTTTTCTTCTTTTTCTTTTTCTTTTTCCTTTTCTAGCCTCTTTGCGCAGATATGAGGCCCTGTATTGGCTCAAGAAAAAAAGAAAAAGGAGTCCGAAACGAGGGCAATACATGGGGCCTGACCAATGGTGGGCGCCGACTTTCCAATGCCCCGGACCCTTGCATCCACAGCGTAGGAAACGGTCAAGATCCTGCATCTTTTGGAGGGCTGCAGCTATGCGATGCGTCGGCTACTTCGTACATTTGATGCGGGACCTAGCGTGAGAGGGTGTAAGAGGATGTTCTGAGGCGAGTCAGACCAGGTTAATTAGAAGCTGCCATGTACCGGTACGGAGGTGGTCTAAAAGCCCCGCCCTCGTGACAGAGCCTCTATCATAGCACCTTCAATCATCTTCAAAAAAATCGACAAAGAGAAAGTTTAGCGTTCCGGCCAATCACAGGGGAGCCATCGTGCAAGAATCTCTTATCTCGACCCTATAACTTCGAGATCCTCCCCCCCTTTTGCTTCGAGTATGCAATGATGGGCATACAGCTGTAGCAACTCGTGAACAGGAGGGTATCGTCAGATTGACATTTTCTGGGGATCGACGAGGATCGTATTGTTAAATAAAAAAGTCACGTTCTTTTCAGCGACGTGGTTTTAGTCAGACCAGCTTAAATTCCAAATCGATAACAAAAGAGCAACAGATCTGCATGTCTATCCACTGCTTCCGCCCTGCTGTCTTCCAATTACTTTCGTATGCTTGTAGGGACCAAAGGCGAAACCAACTCTAGGTGGGGACCACCAAAACCAAGACTGATCCGCTTATCTCTAGCTACACTAGAAAACTTCCGAGGAGATGGTGCAAATCTAACTTGCTAGTTTGCACCTCTGCTTTTCATCATTGATCCGCCCCCACGTTTTAGAGAGCCAATGCGCAGCAGCGTATTTCCGAACATTTCTGAAGGTTTGCGACCAAAAGCAGCCTTTCGCTATATTTTACACCCCCCCTTTTGCTGACTTACCCCATTAGCCCCGTTTAGACCGATTTTGGTTTGCCTTGCATGCTTTTTTGGAGAGCGACCGAAATCGGAGTCAGGGCCTCGCAGGCCAAAACTGTCCCTCCTGCCCAGACTTAATAACAAGAAGTGGAGGTGCCTTGGATGCACACGTTCCGAATAATTCCGATGCTGGCAGATAAACCAGAGGATGAGCAGTTCCAAAAAGTATTACTGAAGTCCATTAATAAGTTAAACTTGCTGGATGATTCATTGGGCATGAAGGCAAAGATCGATGTGAAGCTCCGAAATCTCCCTGAATTGCTCTTCGTGATAATTGCATATTTAGTTGCCTTGCTTCATAGTCGTACCTTGGATTATATCGGGTCCACAGGGCAGGTGGAGAGGTTACTTCAGATGAATTACGCAGGATAGCGATACCAGGTGGTGTTTCTCCAGCCATTTTTAGGGACTTCAAAATATACACAACTTTGCGAAGACAATGGACCTGGCCATATTGAGGGTTGATGAACAATAATACCATTGTATGCGGGAGTGCGTCCTGGGATATGGCTTGAGTGAATAGGGATGCATCCAGACGACGTCATTTGTGATATTCCGAACAATAGCCGCTTTACATAGCTCTTCTTCCCGATGAGGAAATTGAATCGAGCCTCACACGCACGCAGCCGTAGGCCTTTATTTACTTTCACAGAGCATATCCAATATCCCTAAACGCATTGCTCAAGATGATGTCCTTACTCCCAGACTTCACACCCCGAGATGTAAGATCGCCGGTCCCTAGAAATTCCCTGGGACCCCAAAAATGCATGCAAAACAAAAAAGCTAACGCGTTGACAAGCCCCACTCCCTCTGGTATACATCCTCGCGACATCCTCACATCCCCCCTCTCACCGGCGACGCGGCAAACGGCCCTAATGGAGCCAACCCCCAAGATCCGAGCCACCGGCGCGCCGGCCACCAGCACCAACAGCACCAACAATACCACCACCACCTAGCCGTCGAGCGTTCCCAGCTAGCGCGTCTGCGCGCCGACGAGCAGCACATGGAGCGCCTACGGCTCAACGTGCAGAACTTTGGCAGCGGGTGGCTGAAGCCCGCGGGCGTCATCAAGACGCTGCATCAGATGAGGGAGGAAAGGCGAGAGCAAGAGGAGCACCAAGAGGCGCTGAGGCGGGAAGCGTTGGCGCAAGAGCTGGCGGAGGCCGAGGCGGCGGGGCAGGAGGAGTTTGCGGAGGAGGAAGAGGGGATGGATGATGTGCAGCTGGATGAGGCGAGGGATTTGGACGACGATATCCCTGAGGGAGATGGGATGAGTCTAGGGTTTGGGGACTCAGATAGCGAGGGGTCGTCGACTGTGCCGGATGATGAGGGGGAGGGATCAGAGGCAGACGATGAGGAATTAACGAGAAGGGAGCAGGTGCAAGCGCAGAATGAGCTCGTCACGGCGGGGATGCGCAGGACGGCCGATGCGTTCCGCGAGGCTCTCGCGAGGGGCCATGCTGATCCGGCCGAGGATATGTACGGCGGGGAAGAGGAGCTCGACGAAGACGGCCAGGGCCACATGTTGGACGAGGAGGACTTTTACCAGAGCATGGTGGAGCCCGGCGAGGACATGGATATGGACGCGAACCTTGATGATGAGATTCCCGAGGCTGAACTTAGTGGCTACGAGCATACTGATTCGGATGCCGAGCTGACGAGTAGCGAGGAGGAGGATTACTCGGAGCTGAGGATGAGCCATCAAACCGCCGCACTAGCGCCCCCGCAGAGCCCTCCGTCGTTGCGAGCTAGAGGCCGTGATGAGCCGAGGGTGAGCATGGATCTTAGCAGTATCTTGTCGCGGGACGAGAGCAGCTTTATGGAGAGCAGTCCGGCGATGCGGGGAGCGCGACGTCCGTGAAAGTTCGGGCAATGGGGTAATGAGAATTACGAGCCGAAACGGAAACATGGGTTAGGCGTGATGGCGGCGTTTGAATCGGAATCATAGAAAGCATGAAACAGCAATTATGTATAATACCCGGCGGATGTCAAAAAGCTCTCTAGTCTTTCGTAGGAGGAAGGCTCAGCGATCGGGATAAGGAACGATGAACGATGAACAGAAATCATATTTGATGTATTACAAAAGCGCTATATCGTATTACCATAAAGTAGCTTCCCAGATCCCTCCAAAGCCATCGTTAGTCCTAGGGAGTGCCTTTTTAACCCCCATACTTCCGTGACCCTTCCCCAGAACAGGGTAGAAAACAAAGCGAAAAACAGAGATTTCTTTTGTTTTGCTCTCAGAGCAACACCACAAAACGCCTGTTTTGATGCCGTGCAAGAAATGTGGATCCGGTCCCCAACGTCTATAAAATGCATCAGGGGACACAACCACGAGAAAAAAGAAAAGAAAAGAAATCGAGAAAACCCCCAGTTTTCCTCGCCGAACGTCATTCCGGACGCCTTGATGCGGTCTAATAAGCCAGACACCCACCGCCCCTCTTGGTTATGCTCCTCAAATATATGTGTGTGGTTGTTCCATACAAGCTACCGAAGGCTGCCAGTGGATGTTTACCACTCCGCTGGCGCAGGGCTTCGGTTCGAGAGCGAGATGATAAAGAATAGGATTCGTCCGTTTCGCCGATCTCATAACGTCGTGTAGGGTTGTCGTCGCTCAGAACAACCAGACATACATAAAGATGAGGATGACGGCCGCGAAGAAGGCGAGCCACGCCTTCCAGGGTATGCCGGTGCGTTCGGCCATCAGGAGCATGCGGTTCATGGTGCCTCGGAGGCGGACGCGTGTGTTGTCGAAGCCTTCATTCATCTTTTCCGCGAGGGCGGAGGATTCCCGGATCTCGTCACCGATGGCTACCGTCATCTATTGGGGTGAGGTTAGCAAACGCAGGTGAGCGGGGAACTGGTAGGTGTCTACGTACGTCTTTAAGAATCTTGACCTTCCCCAGGATGCCATCTACCTGCTGGTCGTTCTGGCTCTCAAGCTCGTTCAGGACCGCATCGCTGTACTGTCCCCTAGCGTCCGATGTTAGCATGCCGCCGCCCAGCCCTTCTGCGTTCTCCTCCCTAGCCATTTTCATCCACAGAGCCGAGTGTGATAGATTTAACCGCAGTGCAAAGGATGGTGGATGACTCCTTACTTCTTGTTCGGTGTCGCCGGCCTATATCCACCGCTCGCCACACCAAGATGATTGCCGTCTCCTCCCGTCGCCGTACCATTTCCAGGATAACCATAGCCGCCGTATCGGTTAGGGCTCGCGCTCACGGGTCGCCGCGCCGCTTCGCCGGCATCGTAACCCGCAAAGAGGGCGCTTCGCGGGTCGCGCTGGTGGAGATTCGATGCGAATCTACGGAATCGAATATCGTGGTTAGCCAGCCTGCGTCATGGGCCCTCAAGGTACCAGTGGATCTCGAGAGGGGTTTAGATTGCGTCGCCTAGGTCATCAAGGGTGCCGAGTTGTCGGGTGGCGGTTTTGGATAGGCGATAACTAGAGATCTGGCGGATGGTCGTGATCTTCGGGATGAGGGAGGGGGGAGGGGGGATGATCTCGCGTATCGCCTGCGACGAGGTGAGATAAGGCGACATGGGACGCTACTAACCTTGATGACATTGTTTGCTAGATCTGATAGATTTGCCAAGAGATCTGTTGATGCAAAAAAGAGTATCTCGGTAGAGAAAAGAGTAAGAGAGAAGAAGAGAATAAAAAAAAAGAAAAGTTAAAACTCGGGAGAAAATTCAGGGAGTATCAAAAGGCATCAAAATCTTGAATCTTGAAGAAAAGTTCAAGCCAGGGTGTTATTAGCTTGCAGGGGGGGTGATAACTCGAACCAGAATCCCGGCATTGTTAGTGGTTGAGATCGCAGCATAGTTTCCTCGTAGTGCGCGGAATAGGGGCCATGGTTGATTGACGAGTTTTGCTGGTTGGTTCGTTTGGGGAGCCTTAGTCACTAAGATCGTCCATTCCCGCGATTAGCCTGGACACTCAGATCGGATGGCGAACCTCAGGCATTTGACGGGTCAAAATCAGTGTTCAAGTTACTTCTACGAAATCGTCCTGACATCAGACGCTCGCGTCCTGCAAAGATCGAGCAGCGTCTCCGCATCAGCACAGGGCCGATTTGTTCAGAATACACTTCTAGGTACGATCGGTTATTCCGATCAAGTGGAGGCGATAGAGTACGCAGTAATGATGCCACCCAAGCCTTGGCCGCTCCAAGCCCGCTGCTCCACATCGGCGACCTGGGTCCCTTGCATTCTGTGAGATCGAGGTTCTTCCCGCAGTATGAAGTAGTTTTGATCGGAACACGAAGGCTTGGCTCAGGACATCGCCTTTCATCATTCAAAACATGCTCAAACAGGCATTCTCAACGTGCAATCGATGTATACGCAAAGGTAGACCACGCGACACTCCCTACATTCCGAGAAAACTCTAGAATTCTACGCGACTCTCAGAGGGCCAACATAAAAACATATAAGCCGTACTCTCCCTCCCGTCTCGACCATGAGGGCCTCAACATATGACTGGAGAAGGACCTAGACCATATACACTGTATTTTGTTTTTGTTCGTAAACCTCATTCTAACCCTTTTTGATGACGTGAAGCCGTTAAGACGTATCGAGTCCATACAACGCCCTGCCTCGGAAATCCGTCCAAATCCTCTGTTTTTTGGCATGACTAGGGACACCGTGCTCCTGATTTATGGTCGCGAAAGAGAAACAAGAATGCGCGATCGGTGCGGATAACCATTCAATTTAACCATCCATCTTCACATCCTCATCGGGAGCTTGAAAATCGTCATCATCTTCGTCATCGTCGTCATCAGGGGGGTTCTCCTCGGCAGCCTTGGCGAAGTCGATGATCCGTCCACGGGTTCGGCGACCAGAGTTGATGATGTTGTTGGTGTCAATCTCGTCGAGGTTATCCTCCTCCTCTTCTTCTGTATGGGGTTCATTGTTAGGATACGACTGCTAAATGAGGGCAGGGAGAGCGCATGTCACGGCGCATCACCGCGTTGACTTACCAGCATCGTTGGCCTAGTGGATCTATGTTAGCATACTCTACCGACTGTGAATATTCTTCTTGTAAGGACATACCTCATCCTCCTCCTCTTCATCATCGTCATCATCGTCCTCGTCCATGGCGGTGTCGACGTGCTCCTCAGCAATAGCCTTGCCCTTGCCCTTGTTCTCCTGGACCTCGCTGGCCTGGGCGGAGGCGCCGTGAGGAAGAGTAGTACCGTTCGAGGCCATTGTAGCTCAAGAATTTAATTGTTTCTGTTGAAGGTTTCGCAATTGGAAGAAAGGGTCAAAGATGTGTCGAGAGTTGGGACACTTGGGTGGTCAAGTCAGGTTTGTGCTGGAAGTTTGCAAGTGTGAATGGGATTGTGAGAATGGGTGGTGGGGAGGAAGGAAGGTGGCGGTATGGTTAGGTAGCTTTTTTAGCGTCTGGGATGCGACTGGTGCCATTGAGCAAGGCCCCCCTCCCAAAACTCTAAAAACAGTCTGCGATTGTTTGCAGGCAGCGGTCCTCTGGGCAACCACACAATCCTGTCAGGCTGGTCGAGATCGCTTGGCAGCAGTTGCCATAATCTCAATTACCCGATATATTTCCGATTCTGATGCCGTCAGCAGTAATCGAGGATACCTTGGTCACAGTTGCAAGGAGTGTCCTACTTGGATGGTGTGTATGAGTCCCAGGTTTCCTTCCGTCCCGACCCAGTCCTCCGTCAACATAATTCCACAGGAATAACCTCACAGAATGAGAGTCGCTACTCTCTTCTCCGCTCTTTGTACGGCGGCGGTCGCCAGCGCCGAGCTCGCCAAGATCTACATCCAACCCGTCTCAACATCACCCAGCACAGAGACTCCCCCCGACTTCCTCGCCGATATCGAATACCACGTCGCAGACTCCTCCGTCTCCGAAGTAGTATCTTACGAGTTCCCCGAAATCCCCGAAGATGTCGAAACCGTCCGCATCGGCCTCTACGACAGCTCCTCCAAGTCCTGGATAGCTTCCTCCCTAGCATCCGTGGAGAACTTCAACAAAGGCTACGCGCCGGTCATTCTGCTTTCCGTGGACCAGGCTGGACGGCCGATTGGTGTCACTTTCAAGGGAACCCTCATAGATGCTGGCCAGACGAGAGACTTTGGCCCCAAGGCTATCGTCTCGGTTACGAGGAAGGGGGCGCAGCCCGAGCTGAACAAGCCGATTGTGCTGTCGCCAGAGGGCAAGAAGGTCGTAGAGGAGGAGAAGACTTTGCTGCAAAAGTTCGTTTCGCGATGCCTATCTTTACTATTCATGGACTTGCGCTTACTGATTGTCTCACAGGTACTGGTGGGTAATAGCGGCCGGTATGCTTTTGATGATGTCGGGTGGAGGAGAGGGAAAATAGAATCTTGGCCTTGTATTAATAGACTGCTTGTCCATGCGATCCCGCTTAGCGTTCTCACTATTTTCACATCACAAATTCCCAAACAGACACCACCAGATAGTGATGGTATCTTCGTGATATCCTTCTTTCTAGTACGCATACCCCACTAACTAGGCTCACATCACGTCTCTCCAATCTGCCGTCCGAGTAATGCAGCAAACGCGCCTGGCTGCACTTCTGTCAAGTAAAATAAGTATAGAATAAATGTAGTATTAAAACATTGTAAGGAGCCCTTAACCGGCCGTCTAACATCGACATGATGCGAACCAGAAGGCCAGCATGCCATGACCTCCGGGGTATCCCTCCAAACAACCTGAAGTTCGCTCGCCATTCCATGCCTCTATAACAGTCGCTTTCTTGATTGGCCTAAAACACCCCAATCCAAAAACATTTGCCTTCCCATGCAAACCGTTTTCCCTTAACTCCGTTTATCTAACGCCATAATACACTATGATTGCGGGAATAAACATGAACATGAGGAGCCGGGGGGTCGTCCAATGTTCGTGGTACCCGCCCTTTTTGTAAGATGAGCTCGCTTCTTTCTCGGCCGACAGTTAGAAGGCCAGGATAAGGAGATGGATTGAAAAATAAAAAGACAAAAAAAAAAAAAAAAATGAGAGAGAAGAGAGGCAAAAGGAAGAAGAAAAAAAATTATAAGGCGAAACCCCACAAAGGGGGCTAAGTGATTCGCTGTGGTCCACTCAATCATCCGCATGCTCCGGAGCAGCGGCGGCATCTGCAGAGACTGCGGTAGTCTCACCATTAGGGCTTGTCGTCTCAGGATCCTCTAATTGATCGTTTTTGCTCGGGGAGCTCTGGGTAGATGGCTGGAGTATGTAGCCGGGGCACCTTTCTACCAAGCCCTTGTAATATGCCACAAGCACGTCCGGATTAGGGACAATCTTCCAGTCAACCCTGTAGAGGAATTCGAGCTCGAGAAGCTTCAGTTCAGTAACGCGAATACCGCCGACCTTGGCGTAAGTAGCGTTGTTCCAGAAGGAGTCCGATAACCCCTTGGCGGCAACAGTAGCTGCAGTAATAAGGAAGCGATGTACCGTAAGAGTGTTGATAGTGAACTCGGGATATAGCGCACATAGGCGGTCAATATAATATACCATGGATAGTAGCAACGGCGGCGATAAGGTCGCATGGTGAGCAAGACGGTTTAGGTAGTCTAGTACGGAGATACCAGGCGCAGTTCTACACACGATGGGTGGTTAGTGAATGGCAAAAGAAGGAGGAGAAAAAGAGAAGGGAAAAGGGAAGAGCTGGTACAAAATGGCGACATAACGAGGAGTGGTAGCATACCTAGAATGGAAGCGGGTTAAGCTGCCAGAGCGCAAGGCAAGGCCGTCATTCGTCTCGATCAACTCCGATAGCATGTGAGCTATTAAGATGACCATATCTCCCACGGGACAATTCTCGTATGCGAGCGGGAGTACCTTCGGCTCGGCTGGCAATGTTCTATGTCGCTGGGCCGGTCGAGCAGACTCTTGCGAACCTGCATTCTGAGAAGATTGTGCCCGGCAGTCCTGAGCAGCACTAGGTTCCGCCGCAGGGGAATTGGGCCTCCTCTTGACGGACTGTGACTTCTTCGACGTAGTTTGCGCATCCGCGTGCGACCGTTCGGCATTAGGCGTTCTGTGGACTGCCAGGACCTGGGGGTCGTCCGAACTGGAAGACTGGGTCGGCATGCTCCCACCGGACGGGGTAAGCCCGGAGGCGGGTCTGTCGCCGGCACCGCCTAGGGAGGGTTGCATAGTAGTCGGAGAAGACATCAGGGTCCTGGCCGTCGGAGAAATGGTTATTTTTTTAGGCGACTGCGACAGACCGGCGCTCTGCCGGCTAATACTGCGTGACGAGGAAGGGAGACTCGGCGACCCTTGGGGCGTTCTGGCGGGGACGTACTTGAAGGTTCGAGGAGAAACATTCTTGGAAGAGCTAGGGCTAGTAATTATCGGTGAAGTCGTCAACATGATGTTGGAAAATCATTGTTTGGAGGCAGGCATGCAGAGGTGCGGGTGGTTGCGAGTGATAACTCCTCCAAGGTGGGGGATAGACCAAGCCTAGGAAGAGAGAAATATCGGGTGTCGATCTGGGAGCCCATATCAACCTGCGGAGGGCGATACCAGTGGCATAAGACCACGAGACAGCCAAGAAAACGAAAGTCAGTCACCACACGAATGGTAGCACTACCCCGGCAGAACGATCGCTTTGAGTTTTTTCCAAATGGAACCGACCCCGTAGTTTGGAAGCGAAGATCGATGCTTTGACAGACGCTTGACCAGAACGCTCACCGAGCACAATGCAGCCTCTAGAGAGGGAAGAAAAAAAAAAAAAAACTGGAACCTCGAAGATTGCATGTACAGGAAGTACGTACCAGGTACTAATTTGCTCACACGGAATCTGATTCGTTTATTTTTATTACACACAGCCAACCATGTCCAATTTGGGGAGGAACAGCACTCAACAGCGGGGCATTTTAGTCAGCAGGACAGGAGCAGGGAGCACTTGAGACCTTCCATCGCCCTTCCCGAGCCACAATCGAACCAGTAGAAGTACTTGGCAGAGGTCTGTTTTCAGTGTATTTGTACACTTTACAAGTTTGTACCTTGGGCCAGCAAACTGATGTTGATGCGTGATCATGCCGTTTTGGGTAGGGATGGATTTGGTCTGCTGCCAGCTCTTCTTGCCTTTGCTCTGAATCGATTTGAGTGAACGGCTTTTTTTTTCCAGCCACTGATAGCAGCCTTGCATTGGCTGGTTGGGCTTTTGCATCAACAAGAATGGTATTTTGATTTCTCGTCTACTGGCAGGAATCAACATAATTCGATGAATTTAGTCCTCCTTCTTGACAGCTTCAAGAAGGCTCTTCCCTAATTTTCATGACACCGAACCAGGTTTTTCTTACTCCTTGACGATCACTGGACCGCTGCTCCTAAACTACATAGTGGCTCCTCCTATCACCACAGATTCCCCCTAGCCACAATTATTGCATCACGATTTGCCCCCAACATAGTTGTACTATTTCCGGGAGGCGTCTTGTGTTTAGCCGTTCTCTTTCCGATCCGGGCATCCATCCCCAACCTACCTCATCTTGCCTACTTTGTTTTTACAGGATATATATAAGATTGCATCCGCCATTTTCTTCAGGAAACCCCGCATATAGAGAGAGGCAGCATCGTCGCGAGTCCACCACGTACGTCATCAGTTTTAGCGAAGTCATTTGGACCCTATCAACCCCTAGAACCATATATCAATCGCGCAACCGAAGAGCTCGAAAATCGACAAGTTCGACAGTCTCCCCCCCACCTCGAGCATAATCCTTCCCTCGGCGACCCTATAGACCCCACCGAAGTCCGTACTTGCCGATTATCAAAACGTCGCTCATGGGTGATCACGAGACGTCGATGCTGTTGGCACAGCTGCGCTCAGCATCAACATATCCCGAGCAAACAGCTGCCCTGCGGTTGCTCAAGAATGAAATTGTCGGGCACACCCAGAAGAAGGAACTATGGGTCGTAGCGGGCGTTCTCGAACCCATCGTTCGAATCCTCTCGGCCTCGAACCCTCCCAGCAAGCTTAACGGAAACGACGCGAGGTTTGGAACCAATACCGCGAGGACGGTTACCGAAGAGGAAGAGGCGGTACGGCTCCAGGCAGTCCAGGCCTTGTCGACTATAGCCAGTGGTATGTTTCTTCCCAGGATGGCCTAGCGACCCAAACCAGACCGCATATTCCACACATTTTGCCCTTGGTGAGGTTAGATCTCAGTATGCTAATGGTGGTCATCACTGTCATCACTGTTGCAGGAGGCCCACCCTTTCTCCCACCTCTCTACGCGACCGGCGCTATCTCCGCTATTCTAGCGACCCTGTCGCCTTTCACGAATTCGCCCTATGTTGTATACGCCTCTCTCCGAGCTCTGAGTGTGATCGCCGACGCCGCGACGGTCGCCCCGCCAGGCTCGCCATTCGATCTTCAGGTCCTAGCCGACAGTCTCTTCATACCTACTCACATCCACTCCTTACAAGGCATACTTTTATCAACCTCGCTCGACAACGTAACTCAATCTCAAATTACCTTAGCAGCCAACTTGATCAGTCGACTATGCAGGGATGCCAATCACCGACTTGCGCTGTCCAAGGCCAATGGCGTGTTAGATGCCCTCGCCACCCGTCTTGCCAGTTTTGTTGTCGCGGAGGGTCTTGTGATACCTGTGGCGGAGTGGGCGAGGAAGGGCGACGCTGACGTGCTGGAGCATATTCCAGCCCCGGCACCGAGTCATGCCAAGATTGGCCCGATTCTCCATGCCCTTGCTACCATCATCTCGGATTCCCGGTACCGGGCGTTCATGCTCCTCACATCGCCTGCAATCCTTGCCGTCCTTCCGGTTACCCAGTTCATTCCAGCCCCCGCTGTGAGGGCCGCATGGCAGTCAACCGGGCTTTCCGGCGTTCCATCCGGCGAGTCTCTCAGCGCGATGGACTATCTCCTGCCACCCATGCCAATCCAACGAGGTGCTCGCCGGCCTCGGCGCAAGTCTGTGTCGGTCGAAAGCCGGGAGCGGAAATCTGGATTGGTAACTTCAACACATGAGCAGGTGCACTCGGAGTCCTACGGACAGGTGGTGGAGTCCCAATCCGGCGAGGGCGAGGTTCCGGAGAGCCCTCTAATCCCATATTTAATCTATCTAAGTCGATCTAGTGATGACCTAGTGCGACTGATGGCCATCGCGGTGTTGACGCCCTTGGTCAAGGCAGACTTTGTTACCAAGCCCGGGAGAGAAACCATGATCGCCACATTAATTGTTCCTACACTAACCCAGCTTATTCGAGACCACTTGGAGAAACAATGTACCAAGGACTCGAGGTTTGTGGTCGATGCTGCGACAATGGAGACGTGGGAGATTTTAGAGCTCGCCCCGGTCCTTTTGGCGAGGCTCATTCTTGACCATGAAGCTCTCCAACAAGCAGCTTTTGATTGCAAGGCCATCGAGACCTTGTCGAAGTTACTTCAGGAAGCCTACAAGCCAGCCATCTCGACGCAGCCTAAAATGTGGTCACCGAATCCGGGTACCGGTATGGACATGGACGAGAGCTCGGCTGCTTGCAGGCTCGGACAGGCGGGCGCGTTGCCTCTACTCATGCACCGTATCAGGCTGCGCGAGAGTGCTTTAAAAGCCATTGCATCCTCATTAGCCAAGGAAGATTATCGAAAAGCTTTTGTGGAGCTCGATACTGTTCCCTACGTTATCGAGTCGCTCTCACAGTACCCCGGGAAGCCTCTTCAAGCCAAAGAGCGTCCTCGACGCCAAGAAAAATCGGAGGAGGATGCGCCCGCGATTCCGAAGCCCGGTTACGGAGAGAATCCTACCCCCGTGATTATTGGGGCTTGTCATGTTGTTCGCATGTTGTCACGGTCGGTGAGCATACTTAGGACGGCTCTTGTGGACTACGAGGTTTTCATCCCCATGCTCAAGTTCTTGCGGCACCCGAACGTAGATGTACAGATTGCAGCAACGGCGGTGATGGCCAACCTTGTGACGGATGTTAGTCCCATGCGAGAGGTGAGCTTTTTCTTTTTTATCCCCTTCTTTTTTTTGGGATACTGTATCCCCATTTTCCGTACAGCGGGTTATCTCTCCTTGTTATAGCAATTGACTAATCGTCCGTGGTTTTAATAGGCTCTGCTCGATGAGGGTATCATGAGGATCCTCTGCGAGCATACACGTTCCTCGAATCCTTCGTTGCGCCTCAACGCACTCTGGGCTCTCAAACACCTCGTCTATGAGGTGGGTCCTTCTTTGAAGAAGGCAGTGGTTGAGGAGCTCACGACAGGCTTGCTCGTTCGTCTTATCTGCGATGATACGGAAGATAAGGCGCTTATTTCTTCTCGTGGCGCTGGAGACAGCCCGTCCTTTGGCAGTGAGGTTGGCGATATGGATGAAGATGTTGATATGCAACAATCTGAAGAACCAAAAGGATTCGTCTTTGGGTCGACAACTACAGGGCCACCGCAGGACACGGGCCGCGGACGGAGCAGGTACATGGAGGATAAGCTTGCACGATACCGCGAGTCCGAGTTGGACCCTGTGCGAAAAGCGAGAAACGATGACCTCGCAATCCAGGAGCAGGGCCTAGACCTTATTCGCAACCTCATCACGGGCACCCGCAACGAGGTCATCGGCCATAACACGCCCTCGGAGACCACGGAGATGGTCGACTTTATCTTCGCAGAGCTCGGGCAAGACCGCCTCTTCAACATCCTCGAGGCCAAGCTGCGACCCAAATATATCCGGCCTTTCTCCCGACGCAACTCTGGACGGCGCGAGTTGGCGCACGAGTCGAAGGTGATATACCCGCAGGCGAAGCTCATCGAGATCGTCATCTACGTGCTCGTGCACATCGCGGCGAGCGTGCCGCGACACAGGCAGCTCGTGATTGCGCAGACAAAGATGCTCAAGCAGCTCAGCGCGCACTTTAATAACAAGGAGAAGGACGTGCGGTCGGCACTGTGCCAGTTGGTTACGAACCTTACGTGGCAGGACGACCAGGATGACGCTACGGGGTGCAGCCAGAGGGCGCAGGAGCTGAAGAAGTTGGGGTTCCTGGCGAAGTTGGAGGCGCTTCAGGATGATGATCCCGAGCTAGATGTTAGGGAGAGGGCGAAAGGGGCTCTATGGCAGATGAAGAGGCCTTATTGACACGAGGAGGAAGAAGAAGAGGTAGAAGACGAAGGGGGAGGGGAGAGGGGAGAAAGCGGTTTGTGGCTGTAGACAGCGGATCGCTCTCATTTCATTCTTCACGCCATCGGTCCAACATGGTGGTAGTTCGTGTACAATAAATAGTGTCTATACAGGGTCGTCGTCGGAGGTTATTTTACAAGCATATATAAACAGGATGACGTTGTAGTGCTTGGGCACATTGCCGGACAGCACAGAAACTTGAGTATCTACCACGATCTATGTTTGTATTGGCGAAGAATACGATCGTTTGTCCAGAATCATGGAGGAATCGACCAATTCGGCCTGACAGAGCTCGCTTCTACTGATTCAGATTCTGCGAAGGCGGGCTGCTGGCGGTCGAGCACCTTCATTCATGCGAGAGGTCTAACCATGAAAACGTACGCCAGCCCTGACAACAGCGCGCAGCTATATGCAATGCCCCGGGTTGGTCTCGACGAGGACCACGACAGGTGGCCCAGGTATTCCCAAGATATCACCTACCATAGAACGACCTAGCTACTTCCGGTACTAACTTAATAACTAAGAAACGGAGCCGAACGCGAATGAGTCGGGGGTGAGGGACAAGGCGGAGGTAACAAATCTGCTGCGTAGAGCGGAAGGTAGCCGCGAGAGAAACTATCGAAAGGTTGGGTCGGTATTCCCGTGGAGTTGGCGTATGATATGGTTTTCTCCAGTCGGTGTCAGGGCAAGGCTCGGTGTGCATCTAGAGGTTAGCATAAGGGACCGAGCCAAACTCTTTTGCTGTGAACGGACCTCGCCTTATGCCTCTTCCGGGATGGCCGGTATTGTTCGTGCCACTTCTATTATTGAAATGATCTTATGTGTTCGTGATGGCCTTTCAGCCGTCGGTGTAGTTCGATTTCGAACTAGTCTGATAGGGAGCTAACGTTTATTGCTTCGTAGGTGATGCCCTCGGACATGCTGAGGCTCGGAGAACCACGGTGATTGTGGGAGTGTATCTTCGGCGCCGCCCGAGGAGGAATGGGACTCATCAATGGTCCGTGAGGGTATGATGAAGCATCAATTTAGTTTTTAAACTCGGTAGGAAGTAGGTTGGATGATGGCTCACCCACGGACTCAATACTAAAGCGACGAAGACGCGGTATTCCAACGCCGTGTGAGGTTACGCATTTTCACGACGAATATACTTGCAGTGAGGATAGTGAACTTGAAAGCGTCACGCTCTGCTTGGTCCTGAGGAAAGGAGAGTGCCACCTACGTAGTACGAGTGTAGCTAGTCGTCTATCGGGACGTATGGCCCCCATGATGTTGCTCCCTGATCTGGACGATACAGGATGGGCATCTGCCTCGGTGTCCGACAGAATAAGCAACGTCCCCCTATTTCCCCCCTTTTCTTGGGAGATCTGTACAACCTTCCTAGTAGTATAACGAATCTAGAAAAGCAAAAACAATCTCAACGGCAAGGGAAGGTTGAGTAGCGTGTGCCTTAAGCTGTAGAATGCGTGGAAAGAATGTCTTGAGGTGTGGTGTTTCGCCTTGTTCAGAAAGGGATCTGATATTAAACTGCGCCGAATGAGCTGCTACGCGACCTGGAAGATATAGGTCTAGGGTCCACCTGGAGGGTGAGTATGAAGATATTGATTTCATTCCTCGCGATCTACTGAGTTAGACATCAACATAGAAAGTTCTCCCCACAATCACACAACTGCTTCGCCAACTCTGTTCGACGTCGGGTTAGCTTAAATGTGATAGACTGATAGCTGACCGGGAGAGCTCCCTCATGCCACATAGCTCCTGTCCAACAGACAGACCGCCGGACAACGGGAGACCATCCGGACCTTCACGCCATTTACAAGTAGGACATCGTTTTATAGACGCCTCCGCTCGCCGTCCCCCTACGCCAAGTTCCAACCATGCCTTCGGCTGCCTACTTCGCAGTGGCCAGAGGACAATACGCTCCAGTATCAGCAATGTATATTCTGGCGTAGATAAGTGGTGCGGATGTATGAGATGCCCGAGGGGGCAACGGCGACACCCACTTGAATCTCCATGCCCCCCATGCCCTCCATGTCCCATAGATCTACAAGTATACATACTCAAATGCATGGGCCTTCCCACCCACTCCGGGGTTCATTACCCCGAAGAGAATATTGCCAGGGGCTAGACGAGATGTGCATCTCTTCCCGAAGTAAACTACTGTACGGAAAACTGCATGGAAGACGGCCCCGGGCGGGCGGGCGGGCGAGATATGACATTGGAATTTGGAAGTGATGGTGGAAACAAGTATGGCCAACCGCCCACACGCCCCAAAGACGGCAGAGGGTAGGCAACGTTACTTGTCTGTCCTGGCAACTTGTCGGGGGAGAAAACCGGAAGATTAGATTGCTCGAGCCGTCTCGAGACGGAAAGCCGGGCCAGGACCGGGCCAGAGAAAGGGGGTTCGGAGAATGTTAAGCATCATGCGGTCTTGGAAGTGTTGGAACAGTCCTTTCTCTCTTTCAATATCGATATTATATATATATTAATATCAGGGGGGCTTTTGGGGGAGCCGGGTGGCCGGGAGAGATGCCAAGGCAAGCAATCATGGGAATGGGGATTTGTTATTTTTCGACTTCTTCTTAGAGTCAATGTCCGAAGTATTGCTGATGGGCTTGGTGGCCTCTTGTTTATCCGATTGGCGAGGCGGTTCAAAACGGTGGTGGCTGGAGGTAAGATGGAGGAAGAGTAAAATGGCCGATTGGGTGGCGTGCAGCGATGCGGGAAGATTGGGGGATCGGGAGAAGCAAAAGAAGGGACTGGAAGGGAAGAGTGGATGGTCTCATTGGCTGGGAGATCGATTGTATGAAAGCATCGGAGACGGGAGGCGTCAAATCACATCGAGGGAAAGACGTGAAGGGGGAATATTAAGATGGCGATGTTATAGATGCTTTCTGTTCCTGTTCCTGTTTTCCTGTCCCTGTTTTCCTGTCCCTGCTCGTCCCCTTCACCAGCCTGCTGGGACCAACGACAGAGTCGGGTTCAGACAAGACCACATGCGGCATCCCACATTGCCTTTAGCCGGTTTGATTTAATGTGATATAGGATGGCCAAAAAGCAGGAGAAGAAAGAGAACGTACGACGACAGATACAAGCACGGCAAGACGAAACAACTCGAGTGGGGTATCTGGCTCATGTTTGTACAATCGAGAGACTAGGGCGAGTTCATCAAGCGCTTCTCTGACCACCTTGGACTCCGTCTGGCTCTCTACAAGTAAGTGAGCGCGTTGGTGATATTGGACGCGGGCTGAGACAAGACGGCACAGAGGGTCTCGTCCAAATTGCGTTTGTGTGCCACAGCATGTATAAGTGGGATTAGCAGAACTGGGTCGCAGAACGCATTTTACGGTAAATCATGTTCATGTTTCCCTCTTTCCAGAAGCTCTCTCCCTTTGTTCTCTCTGGCGTGCATTTTTTTTTGGGGGGGGGGGGGGGGGGGGGGGGCGGGACATCCGCTCCCTTCCTACCCGCGCATATCACCCAATGCCAAAAACATCGCGGGACCGGAAAAGAGGGGACATGACGATGATTGGCGACGGGAGCATGGCGTTTCAGACCAGGGGCGATGAAGATCTTCGCATCTTGATGCGTCTTCTCCCCAGTGCGTACTTCGTAAACGGCAGACACAGGCATCAAGGTCTTTGGCGGATCAATCGGTCATTTAAGCTTCGGTATAGTCGATATGGTGTCTGGAGTGAGTTTCGTGTTTGAGGGACTCATGTCACCAAGTGCTATCGGTAAGTCCATTACGAGGGTTAATGGGGCCGATGACCCTCCAGAAAAACTTAGAGGGAGTATATAATAATAAACTAGAAAAGAGGGAAGAGAACAATTTCTGCTTTGAAGTTTCTTTGAAGATCCTGAACTGATTCGATCGCATATACTCATATTGTGGAGGAGTTGCTTTGACTTCGTTTGGTTGATACTAGAGGGGATAATCAGGGAACTGGACAAAGACATTGAGTCCACTCCAATGGACAGGTGAACTGGATAGATATAGCGCAATCCCACCATCCTGTTTGGTGGGTTTGCAATGCTCCAACAATATCAACTGACAGAAAGGATTTACCGGAATGTGACTTCCCATTCCAAAGGCTCGGGATGTTTTTACTTTTGGCCAGTGATACAAGTACCGCCGTGTCCAGGTTCGTCCTCAATTGTTTGACGCTGCGACGTATGCGTACGAGTACTTCGCAGGGTGGGGGTGGTGTGCCAAAGCCGAAACAGAGGAACCAAGACCAACACACTTTCCACAGCTCAAACTTTCCCATTTGATCGGCCTCCGCTGGGTGGGAATTCCCGAGCAGCTGGGTCTGGGAATGGGAATGGAACTTGGAGTGAGAAGGTTCGGCTTTCCCCATTCCGCTGGAAAGGGAGGGCGAGGGTGTGCTGTCAAGATCTACGACTGTGCTCTCTAACTTTCGTACGAAGTATGCCCTTGTATCCTTTAGTTTCCATCACCAGGAAGCTCTGTCCAACACACGACGCACACTGGAAGGTGGTGTCTCTCTGTGTCTGGGACATAACAGCCGAAAATGGCTCAGTTTCCCAGGCTGAGTCGCGAACACTCATTCAAGACCTACCTCGCTGGCTGTATTACCTCATTGCCAGGTGCTGCGTCGATAGGAAAACCGCATCCTTCGTGATTTGAAGTGACACGCTTTACGCTGTGGTTGGTGTCTTTTTGTCTTTCCAACCCAGGCGTCTTCCAGCACTGTTACCTTGGTTGTTTCATCAATGCGAAAGCCCGCCCCTCCTCTTCGGAGACCCAATTGTTGTGCACGTGTGATCTCTGAAAACGCCGAGTAACCAGCCGGTCGGGAAAAATTGGTTCTTTGGGGCTTTGCAAATCCTGTGGCAAAGCCGAGGACATATCAAAGATGACCAACGTACAAAAGTGTACGGAGTAGAGAGCTTATGATTTGACTGTACCCAATCATGGACGCCAAGGAAAGGGGACA